TCAGCCTGTCTGCTCCCACTCTCTGGAACCCCACCCATCCTGGAGCCCACTCCACCCCTCTTCGACTCCCGCCCCAGCTACCAATTTTACTAGAAAGATTGTTGGCCAGGACACTGACCGAAACTCCCCTCCTCGGCCGCACCAGCTCGGTGCCAGGCCAGGACTGTCGAGAAGAGCCTTCTATCGACATGAAAGGCACTCTCGAAATGTCCACTTGGATTTTATTCCATTTGAGTGGAAATCGTTAGGATTTATTTGTGCTTACAAGCCTCGTGGTGAGTGGGTGAGGTGAGGTGACCCCAGGAATCTTACTGCGGTTCAATGAATGAACGGGTTAAACAGGCTGATCCTGTAAGGAAGGATTTCTTACCCACTTCATAAAGCAACACACCGCTCGACTTTAGGCGAATGCCTTTTACTTTGTGGCAATCCGAGTGTCTCGTGTTCACCCAAAGTATCGCCACCACATAAGGTCTGCAAACTTTAATGAGAAACTTTGAAACTACGAAATCAGGTCGGCGACAGGAAAACTGTGCCATTCGTTACGGTGCTGCAATGTTTAACAGAGTTGGCGAGAGCGAATCCTTTCAGCAAAAAAACGACACTAAACCAAAGCAAATGTTTTGTGTTGAGTTATTTGGGGTAACTGGGACTTAAAAGCACATTCCATACACTGCACCCATCGTATACAGTATAATCTGTTGACACTTTTTAATGGCAAGTGACTTGGGACAGAATTTTTTCTGCTGCTGTCGGGGAGAGGGGAGGAGTCGTTTGTACTCATTATCATATTTTAGATAGTTTGATATTCTCACATACCAAAAGCAACCTCAAACATTATTCAGCCATTGTTTCTCAGGCGGTTCATGTTTTAAAACGCTCTGGAACTCCGCCCTGCGCGAGAGGCGCTGTGCAAACTCAAGTGGCTGTTGTGGTTGTTAAATACTACTCATTTCTAAAATAATAATAATCCTTGCGTCTCGATTATAGCGCCTCATCGCGTCTTCGAGACATCTCAAAGCGCTTCCAGGAACGTAGCGTAAAGGGTACATTTTGTGGGCAAAGCTTTTGCTGTGACTCTTAAAACTCTGATCGCTTCATTAGCTGAGACGAACAGATCTCGGTCTTCCCCGAGCAGAATGCGAGCAATTTGTAGTTTTTTCTATTCAAATAATACCCATTTTAAAAAATGCTTTCTTAGTGCCCCCTTTTGACGGCTTCTTGTGTGTTCGATCACAGTTTCGATTGCACAAAAAGGAACCACGGGGTGGTTGAAGTGTTGGTAAATAAACCGACCACATTGAAACAACGGTGGTGCGTGTAGAAAGCCTAGTAGAACGGAGAAATCATTTTAAGTTCCGGTAAAATATATGCGCCAACATCTCAGTGAGGAGAATTAGTGTCATCTGGTAGCCTTCTGCAACGGTAGCTCCAAATGTAATTTAAAAATAACCTTTGCCTTTGACACAGCACCTCATCACCTTGTCAAACCATCTCAAAGCGATTCACAGCATTTACTGTGAAGCGTGCACACAGCCAATTTGCACACAATGTCCCGCAATTTTTTTTAAAAAGTGCTCCACCACTGTCAAGGGCTCTGGGACGCGATCCTGCACGAGGGGGTGCTATATAAATGCAAGTTGTTGTTATTGTTTAAAGATCAATTTTACCTGAAAGATCAATGGCCACTGGCACAAAGTCCCCTCTCCTTTCGACTGGTACCTGGGGACCTTTAACGTCCACCTGAACAGACAAGACAGAACCTTGGTTTAACATCTCATTCAAGGAGCACTCATCCAACAATGCAGGGCTCGTCCTAACACTGCGAAGTATCACCCTGGAATATGAGCTCAAAATCCCAACAATGGGGTTGAAATACACAACTTTTTGACTCTTATGAGGCAAGAATTCTACCAAATCACACAGTTGGAATGAAGCCAAATGCACCACAGTCCCAACGACATCATAATAATCCTTTCATTTGATATCGCGCCTTATCCCGTCATTGAGACCATAAGATGTAGGAGCAGGAGTAGGTCATTCGACCCCTTGAGCCTACCCTGCTATTTAATAAGGGTAGTGGCTGATCTTCTAACCTAATTCCATTTACCCGCCCTATCCCCATATCCCTTAATCCTTCTATCCTTCTATCTATTTGTGGAGTCCTGTAGCTCAGTGGTTAGAGCACTCGCTTTGCAAGTGAGAGACCTGAGTTCAATTCCAGGCAGAGGGCGAAACCTTGGGCAAGTTTCCTTACTCCACACAGAGCCTAATAATAATCCCTCCAAAAAACAAAAAATAATAATAAATTGGTCATTTTCAATCTACGACTGTTTGTGGGACACTGCTGTGCGCAATTGGCTGCCGCGTTCGCCCACAAATATACAGTCAATTCACTTTACAGTGTGTTCTGTGAAGCGCTTTGGGACGTCCTCCCGACGTGAAAAGCGCAATATCAAATGCAAGGATTATTATTATTATCCTTTAGAAATCTATCAACCTCAGTCTTGAACATGTTCAAGGACTGAGCATCCACAGCCTTCTGGGACAGATAATTCCACAAATTCACTACCCTCGGAGCGAAGAAATGATTCCTCAACTCAGTTCGAAAAGGCTGAGCCTTAATCTTGAGACTATGAGCCCTAGTTTTAGATTCTCCAACCAGGGGAAACAGTCTCACGGCATCTACCTTGTTAAGACTTTTAAGAATCTTATAGGTTTCTATAATTTTTCTATATTCTAGAGAATATAGGCCTAGATTACTCAACCTCTCCTCGAAGGTCAACCCCTCATCCCAGGAACCAACCAGTGAATCTATGCTGCACCCCCTCTAAGGCGAGTATGTCCTTTCTTAAATAAGGAGAGCAAAACTGCACACAATATTCTAGGTGCGGTCTCACCAAGGTCTTATACAACTGCAGCAAGACTTCCCTACTCCTGAACTCTTAACCCTTTTGCAACGAATGCCAACATGGCATTCGCCTTCCTAGTTGCTTGCTGTACCTGCATAGTACCTTTTTGTGACTGGTGTACAAGGACACCCAAATCCCTCTGAACATTAACGCTACATTGTCTCTCCCTCTAGAAAATAATCTGCTTTTCTATTTTTACTATCTAGGTGAATAACTTCACACTTCCCCACGTTATACTCCACCTGCCACCTTCTTGCCCTCTCACCTAGTACCTGTCTGTTTCCCTTTGCGAAGACATCTCAAAGCGCTTTACAGAATTTACTGTAAAGTGGAGTGACTGTATTTTGTCCTCTCATGAGCTATGCACCTGACGTCACTGGGTTTCTTTTATTGTAAATCAAAGTTTGATCATTTATAACATTTACCAAACAAACTACAATATTTCGACCCCTGTATGCTCTCTTGGTAAATGACAATAATGTTACTTCTCCATTTGAATACTCAATTTTATTTGGAGAATTGTCTGGAGAACCGTCAACTCAAGCATTCTGAGACGAGTTCCAAAGTGAAGGGCGTTATATGAATGCAAGTTGTTGCTGTTGATGGATTGTATCCTTGAACTGTTTCGTATATGCTTTTGTATATGCTCTTTTTGGTCATTATTTGAATTTGTATCTGTGGAGACGGATATTGCTAACTTGCAAACACTTTTAATATTGTTGTTGTTCTTAAAGTGCTAAAAGTATATTTGAACATTAGTGAATAAAACACTGAACTCTTATGAAACAGCATTTAGGCAGTCATTCATATGGAGTTTTTTTTAATGAGATCTCAATTTATTTAAATAATTTAAGATGTATTTATGTGAAGAATTAACTTCAGAATAAATGCTAGTTGTCCCTCTAATAAGCTCTTTCCATTGGGGGAAAACTTCCTTTCGCGGATTGTATATGTATTTTCTGCAGCTAATTATTTTCCATTAAATTACCATGTAATGCAATCCCCCTTAGGCAATGAAATGCCTTGTTTTTTATTGCAAATCCCTTGATCTTCATATCATTGAGACTCAAACTGCATCTCACATGTTCCACATCTTGAATATTTAAATCTCAAAGAGAATGAATTGAATTTGTTGCTGAATAATCCTGTTAATTTTAATTTCTTGATTCCCATGACAGTCAGTTAATTGAGGCTAAAGCTGAAATCCAGAATGAGCAGGAAACAGCGTATGAATCAAAAGTTGAAATAGAATAAGAAACCAACTATCTCTGACCTAAATGAGTCATAGTTGTTGTGCTGTGATCCTGAGCAAATATTTACACAGAAACTCAAACGAGTATTTAGCTTGGGGCTGTTACTTAAACAACTAATTATGATGGATTTCAACTAAAATACAACAACTTGCACTTATATAGCGCCCTCCACGCAGGCTAGTGTCTCAGAGCAAATATGTACTGAGTCAATACACAACGGGCAAAGAGAATTATAAGCATCCACAGGAAAAGCTGTCTTTTGTGAATGTTAGGAACAGTGGAAGCAGGAAATCTGAAGGGGGTATTGGAGACTTTTGGGAGTTAATCAGACAGTCAGTTATGGCATCGGAGTCTAGCTCGGTTTGTTGGCATTACGTTCGTTCGCATTGGGAATAAACCTGAAGGCATTACCCTGGCTCAGTTTGTAGCACTTCATCTTGCCCGAGTTGGAAGGTTGTGGACTCAAGAACCCAGTTGTTAGTTGATTGCCGGATCACTTTTTCCGGGGTTAATAATTCCTTCAAAACAATAATAATTTGGTCACTCAATCCACAACTGTGTGGGGCACTGCAGTGCGCAATTGGCTGCCTTGTTTTGCCCACAAAATATAGTGAATTGATTGTATCTTTTGTGAAGCGCTTCAGAAGACTCAAAGACGCGATAAGGCGCTATATCAAATGCAAGGATTATTATTTTTATTATGATTAGATCAGATGATATTTCTTAAACTTCCACAATTTAACACTGAATTGCAAAATATGGTTCATTTTTCCCCGCGCTGAAAGATTTCCTGCTATAAAATGCAGCAACGGGAAATCCAAAGAGAAAAAGCAGGTGGAGGCATAATCTTTTATTCATTGATGACTCAATAATACATACTGTAACAGCAAAAAAGAAAATGTTTTTTCAAACGTCACAAGGTGAGAACTTGATTTGGATGAATATCTGATGCACACAAAGTATGCACAATGTTTGCCACTTCAGAATGCTTGGGTTTGCACCATGTCTGTCTCCCTTCCCCAGTTCTGGCACAAACAAACACGAGACAGGAAAAGACTCAATTAAAGGAAACAATTGAATCAAACTGGTTTACTTACAATCGGTTGAATCCAAATCAACGTTAAAAGTTCAAATGCATCAATGTTTCACCTGAAAAAAAAATGCCTGTGCCTTTTCCAAACAAAATTGTCCTTTCGTTTTGCATTTAATGTGGCTATTTGTGCTTTGATATCTTAAAAGTAAAACTTTTGACAAGTTTTAATTTCTTTTCCCCCCCAAACAAATTTCACTTAGTGCTGTAGGTGGCATTAACATCTGATATCTCATCCCCACATTTAACACTTACACTGGGCTCTGAAACTGCATTTAAAAGTGAGCAACTTTGTTTATGTTTCAGACTACAAACAGTGCTTTGACATAACAATTCAATTAACTGAATTTGAACCCTACTTAGAATATATATATACAAAAGCCTGTCATTTATACAGTACAGCAAATCTAATTCTTCAACACAAGGTTACAGGATGAACAAACCTCCAAAAGGATTCATTTGGCAGGTTAGGTTAGTCAAATTTCACAATGTGCACTGAAACCTGAAACAAACTGCCTGCCCTTTGCAAGAGGTGCAGACAAACCTCTTCAAGAGACTTGCAATGGCATCTCGGGGCTGACAGTAGCAGTACCTTTACGCTCTCATTATACCGAGTAGGAATGCTGGTGTCATTTGTAGTTCTACACTGCTCCTGGGCTGGGGGTGGGGAGGGGGGGGGGGGTTTGCCGAGACAGCACCTAACCTGCCATTGGGTGATTATAAATTGCAAATACACATACTCACTGGTACCAGACCAGGTTATTAAACTCATGGAATGGTTCACTAGTCAGTTTAATTTGGGATAAGCATTGTGAAAGATATACAACATAAACAGTACAATAAATTTTAAAGTGTGTATATGTATATAAGCTTTGATGTACAATTGCTTTAAGAGGTTTGTTTCTGGTGCAATTTTAAGATTTCAACAGTTAATGTTTCAGAGCCGCATTGACTTAGCAATGTCTTTTGTAAGTCAAACGGGGCTAACTCAGTCAAGTGAGCGTGTTCAATGAATGCAATACACCACGGTGATCTGCTATCTTGACGGTCAACAGCAAGTAGAGCAGGAAAACAGATCGCTCACAATACATTGTATTTTTTGAGCACGCTCAGCAAAAAAAATGACAGAAGTCTGAAGACATCCTTCATTTCAAACAAATAATGCATTAACAATCTTGTTCAAAGGCCAGGAAAAAAACAAACTGCAATTCATTAATAGTTCTCAAGAAGCTCCGTAGTTCGAGAAAGCAATTTTTCTGTGCATGTCTTTTACAATCACATTCTATGAGGAAAAAACGTTAAAAGCCACCGATTCTTTTAAAAAAAATGTTGGATTACAGACATTTGTAATTCAAAGGCAAAATTTAAACTAATAAAGACCTCCGCTCCCTCCCCTCCCCAGATCTCTTAAATTCAAGCTTTTTCTACAACTCAAGACTATTTTCGGCTTGGAATATACATAATGGCAATGAGATGTAAATACCCTCTGAGAAGAAACAAGTAAATACACTCTACTAAAACTCAGGAGAAAAACAAAGTCTTGAACCCATTTGTGCATAGTTCATGATCCTCTTTTACACCAGCTTTTTTCCTTGCAACAAACCAGCTTGATAAAACCAATAAAAACCTATTCAAAGATAATGCACAAGTTACCTGATCCAAGCAGGCTGGGACAAGGAGAGTTTATACAGTAACATACCCTGTGGTATGTTTGTCAATTGTCTCTTAACACAATCAAAAGCATTGATTTGTTTTAAAACATAAAGCATTTCATAAAGCACTCTTCAAACATTGTTGTGTCCATTATTTGGTAAATAAGTAACTGCTACAGAATAAACAGGTATTTTCTTCTTTTCTTCAGTGCTAGAAGTTGGGTTAAAATACATGAAATGGCGTGGAGTAGCTCCTCGGAAAATTCAGGCCTTCCTGAGACATCATCCACTGTGTGCAAGAAAGTGAGCAAAATTTACAAAGGAAAAAAAAATACACAACAATGGCCAAAAAAAATACAACACTGTTCATTCCCAGAGCTCTGAAGTAGCATATCTTCATTCTGAAAATAGGTTTTGATGGAAGAGTAACTGTCCTTTTTTTTTCTTCTTTTTTTCCTTTTTTCGAAGTTCTGTAAAGTTTGTAAACAGGAGGATACCGAAACACAGGCACCTCCGAATCAGTCACAAAAATATCCAGTCCAAGTGCTTCCCATTCCTGCTTGCAGGGAGGGTTCCACTCTGTTGTGTAGCTATGGCCACAGTTCAACTAGAGCATATTTAATTTTTTTAAATTTTTTTTTAAATCTTTTTTTAATTTTATACTCTGAAAGAAAATTGGTGCAATACTCCTGTAATAATTCTCTTGCATTAGTCCACAAAAAAGCCACTAAAGGTAGGTATACACATTATCTCCAGAGCTCACACTGTTTAAGAGCGTCCTTGAGTAAACATTTACACATGAATTGCTGCTGGCCCCCTTTGTAAGATTAGCTGGAGGGGCCGCAGATACTCAGTGCAAAGTTAGAAGCTAATAATTTGACCGACAAGCAAATAAAAGCATATACTGTATAAAGAAACAAAAAAAATCACACTGATTTCACACACACTCGCGCATACTTCTGCACCAACACACACATAGACACACACACACACACGGACACACACACACACACACAATAAACTTTTGTTTGAGCCTATTTGTGATGACAACATCTCGGAAGTGTAAATTAGACGGTTTTCACATTTCGTTATTGGCCTGCTTGATTCAAGTATTTGTGTTGATATGTTTTTGGGATCAAACAAAACAAAGAAAGCAAGGGCAATGTGCATACTAAACCCAGGCTCACAAAAGTAGAATTCCCATGTCCCCTCCCCTTACAAACCAAAAAAGGTTGTGGTCAAAATGATGTTCAAAGTCAGGTTGTTTTAGTGCTGATTGTTAGCTCCACAAGATCACTTCATTGTTTTTTTTTCCTTTACATTGACTCTCCACTGAGAAGGTCAACAGGGAGTAAGGTGTTTATAGGAGTCGGGCTGCCCATTACTCTGCCGTCATCGCCATTAGGAGGTCCCCACAAACTGCTGGAGTACTGGGGGACACCGCTCCACAGCAAGTCGCTGTTTCCTTTCCCACTCAGGGCTGTAGTATTCCAGTGACCCAGATCATTGCGAACCAATCCATGGGAGTTGTTGGTTGACCCAAGTCGGCTCTGATTGTTTCCTGTATTGGACTGCCAGCTCGAGGTCTGTGTCAGTGATTGAGCTTGTGCAAAGAAACGGTTAACTTCCTCATCACTGGCAAATTCAGCGAGAATGGTAGTGTTTCCCAGAACGCACCTGCACAATACAAATAACAAGATGCTTGAGACTCGAACAAAGCAGAGAATTTACAAGCACTTGAGAGAAGCGCAACACAAAATTACATTCGTACCACGCTTTTCACGTCGGGAGGACTTCCCAAGGGCCTGGACAGTCAGGGATTAGGATCCGAGCTGGGGGGGTTGGGATCGGGGAGGGTGGAAGGCAGGGAGGGTGGCCGAAGGTCGAAGAGGAGGGTTTTGAAACATGCCTTGAAGGAGGCAAGGGGGGGAGCGAAACGAAGGGAAAGTGGGAAGAAGTTCCAAAGGGTGGGGGCAGAAAGGCTGAAGGCCCAACTGCCGATGGTGGGCTGGGCCGGACGGGGGGCGTGGAGCAGGACTGCTGAGAGGAGGGAGCGAACGGGTTGATACAGAATCAACAACAATAACTTGCACTTATATAGCACACTCCACGCAGGGCAGTGTCTCAGAGCGCTTAACAGTGGAGGAGCCTGATTCCGAGCCGGGAGGGGGAGGTGGCTGTCACCACGGTCGAACAGGAAAGTTTTCAGGGCTTGAAAGAGGGGAGAAAGGGGGCAAGGCGGAGGGATTGAGGGAGAGCGTTCCAGAGTTTTGCGGCTCAGTGGCTGAAAGGATGACCTTCAATGGTGGGGCAGAGGGTGCGAGTGACGAGCAGGAGGCCAGTGCAGGTCGAGCGGAGGCACCGGACGGTGGATTGGGGAGTGAGGAGATCGGAGAGGGAGGGAGGTTTCAGGAAGTGAAGGGATTTGAACACGAGTGTGAGGACCTTGGAAGTCGATCCGTTCGGTGATGGGGACCCAGTGGAGCCTGGGTCTGAACTGGTGAGATGTGGGTATGGAGCTTAATTCGGGTCAGCAGGCGGGCGGCAGAGTTTTGAATGAGCTGGATCTTGTGAATGGTGAAGCTGGGGTGACCGGCAAGGAGTGCGTTGGAGTAATCCAAGCGGGAGGTGACAAAAGCATCCACGGGGGTTTCGGCTGCATTTGGGGTAAGGTACGTTCGGAGGCAAGGTAGATTTGTGTGTCATCTACATACATGTGCAAGTTTACCCCATGTCTGCGGATGACATCGCCCAGAGGGAGCATGTGGATAAGGAAAGAAGATAAGGAAGAGGCCAAAGATGGAGCCTTGGGGTACCCCATAGGTGATTGGGCGGGGGCAGGAAGATAAACCATTTGCCGAGATGACATAGAGGCGGTTGGTTAAGGACTCAAACCATGCGAGTGAGAAGGTAGTGTGGATGGTCTTGGTGGGGTGGAATGGGGACATGAGGGGGGAGAACGATGCAGCTAAGAGGATGTTTTCAATTTTTGAGGCAAAGAAGTCTAGGACATCTTCGCACTTGGTGTTTGACGTGAGAATAGAGGGGGACTGGGGGGGTGCACAGAGGAGGTGATGGACGGTGGAAAACAGCGTCTTTGGATTGTTGTTTGCCTCCAGGATGACAATGGATCAGCAGTTGCAGAGAAAGGGAGGGGCAATGCCGTGGAGGATCCCTTGAAGGCGAGGATTATGAACTCTACCCTCTGGGAGAATCACATTTCCTGAATTACGTATGAAACATATTCTGTGAGTGGTACAACTTTTAGTACAATCGAAAAGGTAGGGTTTTATTTGGATACTTTCAAAGACAGACAGAGAGGGGTGTGAGGCAGAGGGAGTTCTAAAGGTTAGTAGTATAAGTGGCTGTAGGCTTGGCCACTGAAGGTGGGGTGGAGGGGGCAAGAAACGTGCAGCCGGCCACTATGCCAAACAACTACAACAACTTGCATTTATATAGCGCCCTTTACTTGAGGTAGTGTCCCAGAATGCTTGAAGGGGGCAAATGGAGGGGGGCAAATAGGAGAGCGAGGCTGAAGGGCACCACCTTCTGACTCAGAGGTGAGAGTGCTTCCACTGAGCCAAGTACTATTCATTCTTGTACATTCTAAACGGAAATGTTCATATGAACCTAGGATAAATAAACTCATGTCGTAAGCTTACATGTGCAGCGATTTCTGGGCCTTAGCTGCTTCTTCCTTGGAACTGTAGCGAACCACAGCATTTCCTTGGGTCAAGTTCAGGTGGAATGTAATCAATGGACCATGCTGCATGCACAAAGTCCGCAGGGTTGAACCGTCAATCTGTAGCAAAAATATCACAACATAAATAAATAAACAAACAATGTGTCCATCTGATATGGTATAACTTCACTCAAAACATCTCTGAAGTGCTTCACATGCTGATTTCATCTCAGGTGTAGTGACAGTTGTAGGCAAATTACAACAGCAATCCCCCAAACCACATGCGGATACACGATTTACCTGGGGTGTAAGATTTCGGAGAACCAGCCAGCTATTGTTCCTTCCTGAGCTGTCAGTGCTCCAAGCAGAATCTGCAATAAGTGTTAATACATAATCATTCATCTAAATCACTGAAACGACAGTGTTCAACTTTGTTTTATGTACGCTAGCCAACTGTTTGAAAATAGAAGTTTGTTCTTCTGAAAAGTTTGGATCTCAACTTAAAGACAGTGAGATTTTCACATTTAATTTAACAGTGGACAGAGTTGAATACAGGTCCAAATCAAAGCAACCCTTCTCTACGATTTTCAATCGATCTGCGAAGCGGAGGGGGAAAAAAAGAACAAAAGGGGGGAGAATTACAAATTTATTTTAATAATTATGGAAAAACATCAGTGTTAATCTTTCTGCTGTAGTTTGAATTTTAAAGATGAATTTTGAAAACTGACCCCACTTATCTGACGCACCGAGTCTAACTGTGAAATTTTACTTTGGTGAGATTTCACTTTTGTCAAAAGTTTCACCAACTTTGCAGTTCCAGATCCATGACTTTTTCCCTCTCTGAAGTTGTAAATCAATTTCTTTCACTGAGGAAGCGGTTCCACCCAAAGTAGTACTACTCTTTGCTATGGATATCTTAACTTCTGATGCCACCGTTCAGCAAGAAAGCAGTAAATTCCTTGTGTGCATTGGGGAAAACGGCAAAGGGCAGTGTAAAAAATATAAACGTCGATCTTACTGGAGGAATAAGAGCTTGGCCAGCTTGAGACAAGTCCTAATGAATTGACACCCCAGGATGGTGATGGCTTGGTGTTGGTTAGACCTGGCGGAGGCCTAGTGTTTTTGGATCCTAGCGGCACTTTCCACAATTCGTGCGATAGTGATGCTTGAGATTGGGTGATGGGCCCAGGTGACCAAGTGGATTTATCTGTCAATTTAGCTGGAATTGAAGAAAAATATATCTTCCGTTAGAAACAACTCTTCTGTAAAATTTCAGGTACATTATCCTTTCGGAACATTCACAGCTCAATAAGCAAAGGCACCTTTAGATTTTTCCTTTGAGCACTGAAAATCCTTTTTAATTTAAAAGTGCAAATCCTTTCTAAAATTGATACAACCTCTGTTAAGTATTTCTAATTCAGTTAATTCAATATAAAAAGACTACAGAAGTAGGTTTTAATTCGCAGCACTGAAATGTCAGTTGTTTTTATGGGCTTCACTTTTCTGAGGCCAAGCTTGTTCTGAGGCCAGCTGACTAAACTTCTTTTAAAGACTCGCTGGCAGAACTTTTATCAAGATTATATAATTTCTGAAAATCCAAATTATGTCCACTAGATGGCTTTAATCTACAAACGCCACAAACAAATTCCATCAGAGGCATGGGCATTGCTTATAAATATATGGCAACTATTTACTTTCTTGCCTCTGTGCTCTTCACATTGCAATAAAAAAAATCCTGTAAAATGACCTCTAAACCTCCAATGTTAGGCTAAACTGATCAATTAATTCCATACTGCTTTGAATATCTGATCACATTCACTGTGCTCTGGATTTATGATGAAGCCCTGTATTAACCCGAGCTCCTAAAAATGTTGGCCATAGCTTTGTTCATTTCCTCAAGGTAAATGCTTTTACCGGCTGGCCAATGCTGCAATTGCTGATAAGCAAAATTAACCTTTCAGTAGGAGGTAAATCATTCGATTGGAAAAGAATGACTGAAATCTACTTCCGGAAGGAGATTTTTACATTATGGTAATGTACAATAATAAACAGCACACATTATTGGCAATGAAAACACACAATGGAATCCAGCAGACGACAGCACAACATGTTTATTAGAAATAGCTCTTAATATCTGATGCCTTCTTCTTAACACAGACGCTGGTACCTACTCCAGAGGGAGAACCCTCTGAATTGTGAGAAGAAAAAAGTCCATTAAAAAAGTTTGCAAATGCTCCAGGTTTGTGAAAAATGCATTAAGAACCAAAAGTGTACAATGCTGAGTTTTTGAAGACCTGTCTCCTGGAATTCAATCTTCAATAGTTTTCTGTGAGGCAAGACTGAGCGGTCTGCATTAGCAGATCTGCAGGATAGAGACTTGCTTAATGCCAGTCTGCTCACGTGAACACTAACATGCTCAAGCTAAAGAACACTGTGCAATTAGACAAGACGCAGTTGGAAAACAGACAGGATTCTTGAAAAACCTGAAAAAAAATGAAAGTATATTAGTTTCTTCCCCTAAGTTCCAAATTATTCATAAAATATAATTGCTTGATCAGCACACTATATGTTTTGCTATTGTTCTTGTACAGAATTTTGTTGGCATGAGAGAACTTGTATAGTAATCAGACTTTTCTACTCAATATTTACCAGTAATTTGTTTTCTGGTTGTCCAAATATGTGAATTTTATTTTTCTCACTTTTCTTTTTCCTTCCTTCATGGTATTCTTTCTGCAGTGAGGATTCTTCGGAATGTCAGCCTTTCCATCCTGGGTAGAACCGTTACTGCACCTCGAATTCTGGTTGATTTGTTACTTTTTTCACTGGTGGACTCTGATGGCATTAGCATAGTAATACCAACCGCTCGTCTCTTCAAATGTCATTTGCACATTCAGAATGATGCACCACTAAAATGTGATGCAAAGACTCAAAGCAATGCACACTGATGCCATGTTTCATCCACAAAATACAGTCACTACATTTCACAGTGTATTCTGTGAAGCGCTTTGAGACGTCTCGAAGGCGTCATAAGGCACAATATCAAATGCATTAATTATTATTTTTAAAACCTATTTGTATTAATGTGCAATACTTCCACATGCATAACCATAACACCCTAAGCAGTAACTTTATTTTTACTGAGGTGATTTATGTGATTCGAGAACAAATTCTTGGTCGAAATATGGCTTTTACCTCCAGAAATGTATATCTCACAACCATTCAGAAAACGCTGCATTACTGAATGTATTTGCCTCTAAACAATTGTCTGAATTGATGTTTTTCCAAAGTGAAATGTTACCAATGTGCAAAACAGATGTTGGGAAATGCAAAATGATATAGCAAATGCTCATTATTAATCAGCACAAGCGAAAGCAACAGGTGACTGACCTGTAGCACTCAAATCAAACTATTTAGTTTAGTCACATGTTAAAAAGAGGTTTTGCCAAATGTTTAAAAAAAAGGTAGTAAGAACAAATATTGACATCTCCATTAAATTTATGCTGATTTTAGCCAGGATGTCTAAGGAAAGCTCCATCGATAGGGATCTTCCCACAAGGGAGAGCTATTAATAATCATAATAATAATTATTGCTTTTAATATAGTGCCTTGTCACGCCATTGACACATCTCAAAGCACTTCTCAGAATATTCTATAAAGTGGATTGAATGTATATTTTGTGGGCGAACAGCGACAGCCAATTACACACAGCAGTGTCCCAAAAACAGTCGTGGACTGAGTCAGCAATTATTTTTTGTTTTGAGAGGGATTATTACCCCCGGAAAACAATCTGCCAAATTGTCTAAAAGCAGGGTTCCTACTTACTGCTAGGTAAAGAGAAGCGTGTGGAGTAAGGACACTTGCCTAAGGTTCTGTCTCGACCAGGAATTGAACTCAGGCCCTTTGCGAGACGAGCAGGCTGTAATATTAATACTGTTTTTGTACATCAGTTCACTTATAGGCCGAGGAGCAGCTAACTTGCATAATTACCCCTCTGTGGGATTAGTTTTTAATATTTTATATGTAACAATGGAACATCTTGTGTTTTATTATTTGATTCTGTTATGTTGCTTAGCACACCAATACAACACTGCGGTCCTCGGTAAATCTACACATTTTGTCTCAGGACCTGAAAGAGTTTAGGGTTTCTACTTGGTTTTCGAACCTTGAAATGAAAAGAAAAAAAGTTACATAATGAATCAATGAGTATTTTTCATGGAGGATGAATTCTCAGTGAAATGTTTCTTATAGGTTTAAGAAACTGATCAGCTAGGATTATCTTTCCTCCATTGGATTGTCATACAGAAGAATTTATCTGAAATCCACTTTAACTGGTATCCACAGACAAAAACATTAGAAGATGCAACCCGAGAGTATAATTATGCCAAATATGCACACTTGGTAACAGTGGTAAATGTGATACTGATCAGAAATGAAAAATGTGCCTGATTCTTGCCCTCCCTAACCTGGGGGACCAAGACTAATTAGTACCCAGCGGAGATTAACTAGTTCAGCACAGACCACGGACTGAATACTTGGACCTGTTCAGTACGGTTCAGTTGCACACTGGGCAGTACCTTACCAACTTGAGAAAATGTGGCTTTGCGCTCAGAACTTCAGTATGGTTAGCAATGGAAGCAGAAGGATCCCTACCTGCAGTATTAGGTGAAGATGCAGAGCTGCTGAAAGAGCTAGTGTAGCCAGAGGCACTGAAGGACCAGGCACTAGATGAAGGCAGCGTGGCGTTCTGAGATGATGTTGGGGATGACCCTGTGTAAACACCAGAGAAGCAACTAAAAGGCATGGAAAATGACTTAAAATGAAAACCTTAGAAATGGTTACCATTTGTTGTCTTTTGCAGGGAAACGTTCTTTTTTTCCAGGAGAAAAAAGGATAGCAAACAATAGAATGGGTTGGGATGGTTTCCAATGTTAGTGCTATTTGGTTAAATTAGATTCAGTTTGTTAGAAATGCCAGATATATGGAGGTGTGCAAATCCAATCTGAATCCAATTCCAGCTTTCATGTTCATGAAAATGCAGAATGATATCATAAAATGTGCAATCCATAATATTCATCTAAACTGCATCAGGAAGGAAGCCTGCTAAATGCACAAAGCAAAGGCTAGCATGGTCCTGTGCAGAGGAATGTGAAGAAACCAGTTCCTAAAAATCGTCAACCATTCAACCTATAGATTAACTATTAAACTACGCCCTACCTTCTAACTTTGTTGTCATCCAGTCAAACAAGGTCAATCAATTTAGGTTTACTCTAAACTGATGGAGCTCTGCTTTCTAAATTTCGTTTCATGGTATAAATATTCAATAAAACTTTCTTGAAAATATTCCACACTGAAAAAGGGGGTGACTGGCCACACTGAGAAAAGATGAGCATCTTTGTAAACGACTTCAAGATGGTCTTCGTGCTTAAAAGTTGATCATCCTGTGTGAAAGTTGCTATTTCAGTGGAACCTACTGTTGAGAATATTATGTGCAACATTGAGCAAGAGATCATTTGCACGTTTTACGCTGGGGGGGGGAGGGAAAAGAAACAAGACGATATACAGTATATTGAAAAGTTAAGAGTAAAACATTTTAACGTTCCAAGATAAATTTAAGACAAAACCTAGTCATTTTTTTTGTAAGGCAGTGTTGTGTGCTTGATAGACTTCCTCATTCATTGAACATGAGAACATTTGTTTTGTAAGAGATCTCGTCAGGAACTCAAAGTCGGTTTCCTTATGTCAATTTTAACTTGTGCGGATTGCTCAGCACACGACCACCCTGTCTGTCTTACCTCCACTCCTGTCCCTGAGCAGGTAGCGATCCACATCTCGGATAGTAGTATTAATGGAAGGTCCACTGGGGACACTACCAGGTGTAACATTAGGGTCAGTCTCAGGGTCGATATTCTGTAGTCCTTTCCATGGCTCCCCAGGACGAAACTCTTTAGCAGTGGGAAGGTAGGCAGCAGAACAGTAAATCACTATTAGCAGTTAGATTGACGTCTACTAGTACAGCAGTCACTTAAAGATAATTATTAAAATGCAGCAAAACATTTTTTGTTTAAATGAAGCTAATTGCAATATTGCCTAAATTGAGGGTCAAAGCAGATTAAATATGCTTTTCTGACATTATACATCCAACATTTTGGTGACTGGTATTAAGATCTTTTGGTTGAGATGTTGGTTGTACTCAAACAATGCTGCCTTGAAACTTTACATGTTTATTGGAACTTATTAAAAAAAAGTTTGTGAAACGCTACCTAACCATTTTGAATCACATTGGCAGGCAGATCTAGGCTGGTTTCCATATGCTTCAGGACATGGTGATGCATTGGATTCTTGAGACCCAAGTCAGTTTCAGCTGGTGCCAACACAGCATTACTGTTGGATTACTGTACCTCTTGGATCTAAAGACTTGCTTAACTCCACTTTTTTTTGACTATTTATCCTGCGTCTGTTATTGACTGGACCCAAAAGAGTAAAGAGTATATCAAAAGGCATTTACATAATTGATTGCTATCAACTCTTAATTTCAATCATCAATGTAAAGTGTAGTAAAGAAGCAGGTCTCAGGAAAATACAACATTCTTAACATATACATTTTCTTTTGCCAGTATCTGGGGTTTACCTGGTGGCCAGTTAATGTTGGAGCCATTTGAGATCTTATCAGCAGGGGATTTGGCACGTGTCCAGCTATCACTGACTGCTACCGGTGGACTGGCTGGTGACTCACTGCTGGTTATCAGGTCATATGGACTGTAGGGATCCTCAAGGGAGGGCTTGCTTGGTGGACCAATATTGAGACCTCCAGGGATAGCACCTGAATGTGTGTCAAGTAGGACAGAAAGACAACATCATGGACCATTNAAAAAAATGTTGGTATGGACCTAATCCTTAATCTTAACAGCATCTAAATTAAACTCAACTAGTTGATTGGAGCTCCCAGATGGGATAAGGTACTGCAGCACTAAGCCATCCAAATTAGAAGCTCACAGATGATTTTGTCCTTGTTGAGTAAGGTAATGTCAATTGGGACAACAGTAGGATTGCTACAATTGGCCATTCTATCAGAGATAGGGAAGGCATCAAAAAACAAACAAATAGGGTTGCATTTCCTATCACTATTTAACCATCCCTGAATGGAAAGAGCAAGTGGGTATTAAATGAGAACAGTCTAGGCTGTGATGTATTTCATGATCGACTGTACTACTGGTTCACGCATAAAATGATTGCTACTTTGATAAAACACTGGCGATCTGCTGGTACACATGGAACCATACATTCAGAGGAAGGGAGATTTGCAATAGTAAATGGATATAGTTATGGTAAATGGATATAAAAACTTTCATGTTTTTTTGAAGTGCAGCAATAAGATTTTTTTAAAAAGTTATAAATTTGGTGGTATGTTTCGAAAGAGGATTGCAATTTGAATATTCTATGTTCTAAAAATTGTCAGTTGTTGAAAGTTGAAAAGAAAATTCAGTGTTCAAAAGGTTTCCAATTAATTAATTTCCAAAAAACAGGAGCAATTGGTGATGGTGATGTCAACCAATCATCACTATTCCAAGATCAACAACTCACGTTTATACAGTCTTGCCAAGCACGCAGCATAGTTTAAGCTTTTCTAGGTATAGACTCCGGGCATATTTTTTGTGAGTTGGCACAGGAGAAGTGCTACAATTTCTTGATGTTATTATTTAAGTAGTTATATAATAATCCTTGCATTTGAGGTAGCCTCTTATCACATCTTCGAGATGTCTCAAAGCGCTTCATAGTATTTCCTGTAAAGTGCAGTGACTGTGTGTTTTGTGGGAGAAAAATGCTTGACATAAAACACTGCATCGGATACCAAAAGGAGCATGTGTTATATCCATCAGAAAAGACTAGCATGATACTGAAAAGGTCCTTTAATCAAGTTAAAGATAGATTACACATTGATTAGGACTCTGCCCTTCAGGGCTCTTACCATGCTTGCTCTGGTTCTGGTCCAGTAGTGAAGAATTGCTGCTTAAAGTTTCTAATGAGTTTGGGTGGGTCCACTGTCTTAGACGGGATTTGGACTGAGATGAATCCTTCATTGATAGACCACCGCTTAGCTCCATGTTACTTACATTCATATTTGGGATCAATCCAGCTGTTAGATGAAAAGAAAACAAAGTATGAGACCAGAGAAGATATTTTCTAAACATGTTGTTTCCGCAGATCATGTACAGTCTGGCCCATCATCTGATTAATTTACTCAAGACAACAACCATAGGCAAACTTCAAAGATGCTAAATGGCTGACAAATCTCAGGGCAGCCTGCAACATGCTCCCCAGCACAACAATGGAGCATCAGCCGAAACTATGATCTCGGTTGAATTATATAGTGACGAGAACTGTTTCACAAGAGCAAATCTTACAATACACCTGTACTGTATTTTTAGTATACACACTTCTATACACACTCTCCTGGACACACACTTCTAAGACACTAATCTGTAAGTAGGAACCCGGTTGTTAGTTGATTGGCGGATTGCTTTTCCGGGGGTAAAAATAATAACTTGGTCACTCAATCTTCAACTGTGTGTGGGACATTGCTCTGCACAACTGGCTGCTACGTTTCGCCCACAAAAACCTAATAGTCAATTCACTTTACAGTATAGTCCATGAAGCACTTTGAGACGTCTCGAAGAGGTGATATAAGCCGCTATATCAAATGCAAGGATTATTATTAGTATTATCTACTTACCCAGGGGATATCCAGAGAAAGAATTGGGTGATATTTGTTGTTCTTTGGTCTGCAGGTCGGAAAGGCTGGGGGGCGGGTGGTGACTCAGGTTATCAATGGTTGGTTTGCCTGCAGATGGATGTAATGGTGGATGTGGTGGCTGCTGCTTCATAAGCAAGGCCTGGGTCAGCTGGCGCTGGTGCTGCTGGATCTGCTGCTGCATGTTGTTGATTGTACGTGCAACCTGTCAATGGAAACCCACAGGATTCAGAACGGCTGCAGAAACAATAAACTAATCCACTTTTAATTCCTTTGCGTAATAAGCATATGCAGAAAACGAAGGCTCCACAAATGGAAAACAACAACAAGATTACATTTGTATAGCGCCTTTCACGTCGGGAGGACATCCCAAGGTGCTGGAAAAGGGAAGTTGTAGGATGGGGGGGGGGGGGGGGAGATTTAGTTTACTTGCTGCTCATCATATCAAAAACAGGGAGGGACAAATGTACAAAATAGACAGGATGCTGGGCTAAATTAGTGACATATCGACTGCCAGAAGACATTGTTCTTGTCAAGCTGCAGGTGAAATACTATGTGCAATTTTGCAACCTTGATTTAAGAGGTCCATGTATGCCCTAGAGGCAGCGCTAGAGTTATGAGAATCACGGTTAATGTCAAAACCATCTTTTCATCGTTGCTGACTGATGGAGAAACTATCTGGAGCTACACAAACAGCCGCCAGTGTTACTTCACATACTTGCTGCTCTTGTTGTCTGATGGTTCCGGAAACATTGCGTTGGGCCTGTAACATCTGCTGCTGGAAGAGTAAACGCTGGTAGGCCTGTAAAAGACAAAGCGACAGATAAAAGCAAGAACGACTCAAAACCAAAAAATTTCCCATTTAATAACAACACAAATATACCTCGTAGGAATTCAAATAATGACAAAATAGATAGAAGATTCTCATTCTCAATGTTTGCAGAGGAATCCTAGCCTGGACTTGATACTTCAGCTAAACCATTCATAAGCATTTTTTTTTCTTTAACAGGACTCAGTTATGCTGTTACATATAAGGTGGAGGCAGAGAAGGAAATGTGGAAAGAACACAGGAAGAAGAAAAATACGAACATGGAATTTATGCTAATCTTCACCAATCGTGAAAGAATGTGGCCAATTGTTTTTGGCCAATTGTGTTTTGTCTTCTTCATCAAGGAAGTACAGTATGATGGATCGGAAGCTATGAAATTGGGATGTAATTAGACTTAAAAGTTAAGATGTAAGTAGGAAAACCTTTGTAAAGCTGTGATGAAAACTATAGATATTGAAAGCTATAAATTGTCATCTTTGGAGTACTCAAAAGGTTATATAGATCCTTTTGATTGTGTAAAGTACTATTGCTTTGAAAGATTCCAGTTGTGAACTTACCAGCTGCAGCTGATAGAGTTGATTTAACATAGTCATATGCTGAGGATTAATTGGCGAGGCTAATAGTGCAGGGTTGAGACCCATGTTTTTTGCTGCAAACTGCAAGAGCTGTGCTTGAACCTGTAATTAACAGAAAATACTATATAAATCCAGATTTCCAAAATTGTTTGCTGCTTTTCCCTAAATTCCAATAGTTCCTGAACTAGAAGGTGTCAGCCTGGCTCAGCATCTTCGCCTCTGGAGCATCAAGCTTTCCACATCAAGATTGTGAGCTCACAATCTGGACTGACGCTCTAGTTCAATGCTGGGGAAGAACTGTATTGTCGCAAGTGCCGTACCAAACTGAGGTCCTGCCTGCCTGCTCAGGTGAATGTGAAAGACCCTATGACACTATTTGAAAATGAAAGGAGTTTCTCCTGCGTTCTCGCCCTCTTTACACCCCAGGTTAGTCATTCGCTTCATGGCTGTTTGGGGGAATATTGCTGTATGCAAATTGGGTGCCACATTTACACAGTCACTGGCAACAACAACAACAAAATTACATTTATAGAGCGCCTTTCACGTCAGGAGAACGTCCCAAGGCGCTGGACAGTCAGGGGTCAGGACCTGAGCATGGGGGAGGAGTGGGGTAGGGGTGAGGGAAGGCAGAGAGGTGGGAGGGAGGCCAAAGGCATGATCAAAGAGGAGGGTCTTGAGACCGGCCTTGAAGGAGGCAAGGGAGGAAGCGAGGTGAAGGGACTGTGTGATGGAGTTCCAGAGTGCGGGGGCAGAGAGGCTGAAAGCTCAGCCACCAATAGTAGGGTGGGTCGGGCGGAAGACATGGAGCAGGCCGGAGCCCACTGAACAGCGAGCAGGTTGGCAGGGAGTCAGCAGGTCAGAGAGGTAGGAGGGGGCAAGGCCATGGATGGTCTTGAAAGTGAGGATGAGGATCTTGAATTCGATCCTCTGGGGTATGGGGAGCCAGTGGAGTCGGGCGAGGGAGGGAGTGATAGGGTCACGGAGCCTGGTGCGCGAGAGTACACGAGCTGCAGAGTTTTGGATGATCTGCAGCTTGTGAAGGGAAGAGTTGGGAAGGCCGATGAGGAGGGAATTTCCATAATCAAGCCTTGATGTGACTAAAAGATGGTTCGGCTTTATAGGCACTATATTAAATGCAATGATTATTAACAGGGAATCTCCGTTTATTTTTTGGAAGTGTCTTCAGACCAATTTATGTGTTGTTTACTTACCTGAGGGGATAGAAACTGAGGCACTTGAGCACGAAGACTAGGCTGGGATGAGTTAAGAGGTTGCACTGGTGGCTGCTGCTGCATGGTCCTGGCTTGTGCTGCTCCACTATTGCCAAACATACCTAGATTGCCACTCTGTAAATGAATATTAAAAGGGAAAACTTATTCACCAGATTACCACAAAGGGAATTATTGGTACATATGAAAGTCTCCATTAAAATAAATAACATTGAAATTAATTTTCAACATTTGCTTTAAACTCAGATTGCTCATGTTATTGAAGAAAGTGGTTGGGAAGAGATACAAAGTCCGACATTGTCATGGGGTTTTCATGCCTTCATTATACTACATCAAGTGACTTTCTGATATGAGCAGACCAATCTAAACGACTTCCACTTAAATAGTGCATTTCACATAGGGAACCTGGGGAGCATTAAGGCACATTAGAGAGGTAGGCGATTATGTGTCTTCACTTACTGTCTATGTGTGAGTGCTTCAAATTCCGACAGAGTTTCGTAACAACCCTGACATACTGAGACAGAATTAGTAGTTAATCGAAAATACTGAAGGCTATTGCTCCATGTATTGGTTATAGATATCCTGCAATTGCGTCAAATTCAAAGCAATGCAAGATTATCCCTTCCAAGTGGTTTGTTTCCAACTTGAACCATTCCCAGTTCTGTACATTGCACTACACATCTTGTGCTGGTACAGAGTAACTGCTGAACCCCCCAGTTTCACACAAAATTAACAGGATCAAAATAACATCCTCTAGAAATCCTTTTTTTTTAAAAATAAAATTACAGCATCTTCTCCACCAAATAATAACACACCTTCAAATTGATTAAAATTACACCAGATAAATACTCCATCCACTAGAACATTTAACAGAGTAGAAATAATATTGAAAACTAGAAATGTTAACCTCAACAGATTTTATCACTGCAAAGCCCTAGGATATGGGTTTATGCCCTCAATTTCCCAAGGAATGATCCCAATGTTGCCTGTCAGATGCTAGATAAAGGACAGTCATTTCCTCACAATGTGGAGAGTCAGAATGTCAGAAAATAAATTAGTGCCACTGGCAGAGATCTGGGGAAAAAGCAGCTATTGGTCTCCCTCTGGATTGGTGTTTGATGCCAGGAAGGAGAAATCAAAGTGTGCAAAAAGGAAATAAATTCAGAAAAGCAAATTAAATTTATATCTATAAAGCCAGTCTAGTCACGTGAATAGCTCTTTGAGAACATTATAAAAATGGTACATAAAAATGTTCTCGAATTGGTTTTCAAAAGGTATCCTTTCTGAGCCGAGGCTGAATTGATTTGCAACGGTTGCATTTACATTGCAGTGGTGCGAAATAATGTCACTCCGAAATGACCTCAAGGTGGTAATCACTTCCAGATGACACAACGCAAACCAGGCTCATTCTACTTTTTTTTTAAAAAAAGCAATTCTGTCCGATTTGCTGGAGAAAACGCTGTACTTAAAAAACATTTTGAACTTGATAAGAGTAGGAAAGAGGCTTGAGTTCATTAAGTGCAGTGCTGGGCATTAACAGATTGGCAGTTTCAAATCAGAACCTTTAAGTAGCATGCAGATTTAATACTGAAAAATGTGAGCACACATCAATGGGCAGCCTTACCTGTCTAGAAGAATTCAAGTTTTGCATGCCCAGCCCCGAGGCAATGACACCAAGGGCCTGATTAGAGTGTGCACTGTTTGAAAGGGGGAGCTTCAGGCTTGGTGAAGGCAAAAATGGTGAAGTAGGGGACTCTTCCACTAGGCCGCCATCCTGATTGGAGAAAGATAGGGTAAGCTATGCAGTGCAAGCATAGCACAGCACCGTTACCGAGGAACCAGGATGGAGGACAAGGCAAGAATGTAAAAGGATTATATAGATAATGTATATGTTTTTTTTTGGGGGGGGAAATGAAGAGGTGGATGAAAAAGAGAAGAGAGAAAGAGGAAAAAAGGTTAAGGTGCATGGATTTAACAATCTGCGTACTAAAGCTAAACGTAAAAAGAAAAGATTAAACCCGACAAGCTGCAGGCAAATGCAGCTCTGTTAGCACATTTCTGATTTTCAACTTCACAATGTATCTGTGAATTCCAAACCAAAAGAGACACATCCTCAAATGTAATCTTTTCAGAGTCAGTACGGATTGCTTCACCCAGCTCTGATTTTGCTGACAATTGGTATAGATCTTAAAAGTCACACTTAAACAGAAGATCAAATAGGAGAACTTGGACCAGTTTCTCAGCTATGGCGTTGTGAAATATAAAAGCTGAAAACACTGTAAAACATCAACTTATCAGACCCGGAGGTAATGAGACAATTTTGAACTTGATAAGCGTAGGAAAGATGCTGCAGTTCATTAATGGGGATTGGCCCTCATGAGCTGAATAACTTTTTCTCCTTCAATGCTTTCCTACGGTCCAATATTCACATATTCTTCCACTCAGAGGCTTAGATGGGGGATCTGAACTGTCATCTCTGCAGTTTGGTTTTGCTGATTTAGGGGTGACTTGTTTGATGGCACAGAGAACGAGTCATTGTGGAGTCCTGTAGCTCAGTGGTTAGAGCACTCGTTTTACAAGTGAGAGACCTGAGTTCAATTCCAGGCAGAGGGCGAAACCTTGGGCAAGTTTCCTTACTCCACACAGAGCCTAATAATAATCCCTCCAAAAACAATAATAAATTGGTCATTTTCAATCCACGATTGTTTGTGGGACATTGCTGTGCGCAATTGGCTGCCGCATTCGCCCACAAATATATAGTCAATTCACTTTACAGTATATTCTGTGAAGCGCTTTGAGACGTCTGGAAGACGTGAAAAGCGCTATATCAAATGCAAGGATTATTATTATTGAGTAAATGTTTATATGCTCAATGCACTGAACACAAATATACTATATAAAATGGGATCATCAAATAAAGCAGAAAATACAGGAACGACCAGATAAAAGTACTTCAGTCAAGAATTCATAAAACATTGGATTAGGTTTTACAACTATCAAAAGCATAAAGCATGAATTTGAAGTGCCAAAAGTTTTGTTTCTATTGCATATGAAGCCGACATGTACACAAATGTCACAATCAAAGTAGCTGAAGCAGATCCTTGACCACTGCCATGAAATTACAATCAAGGAAAATGCATCGTATTTAATCAAAGCAATTCAATTCAGAGAATAAGAAAACACACCAAAAGCAGACAAGCACAAGTTACTCAAAATGGCGTTTTATCCTGAAATAGCTTATTACTGACAGAAGGTTTAAAAGTCTGCCCAAACACAGTGCACTTCACAATGACAAACTGCTTCTAATAATATTCCAAAGATTTTGGCTTGCTTCAGATTCCACTGAACATAAGTCACGTAAGCTCTACCGCTTATTTGACACAAACCGGTTCACAGCAGGTCATGTAAAGAATATCAATCTCACTACAAGCTGAGCACCATGAAAATACAGAATGGTCCTAAATTTAAATCTAATATACAACTCATTGAACTCCTCAGCAAACATACCACTTAATACGGTTATTGCAGTTTTGATGAATACGGAGCTTTTTCTCAAGTCTAAATACTGTGATCTCAAATATCAAACATTCGGACTAACTGAACCTATATAGAAATGTGGTGACACCTTTAAATCCTGGCAAATAGTACTCAATATAGCACGATAAATCTGCAATTGTCTCAAAAAAAATCAGTGATACTCTTAATTTTTTCCCACTGGTAACTTGTGTCCTCCTGACACAGGAGGTTATGCACCGTTTTACAAGTACTACACGGCGTAAAAGATCATACATTTTTATAACTACAGCAGAGCATTATTGCTTCACAGTAACAGCGGCAGAAGAAAGTTGTAAACAACTGAAGTTATTTTTGGATACAAAGTTAGAAATGCGTTTAAGTTGCAAACCAAATTTAACTGCAGGATACAAGAAGGAAGTGTTCTGAATACATCTGCATAAATTGACTGCAGTTCTTAAAAGAAACTTAACTTTCATTTGACCTTTTGGTTTCTGAAAGCAAGCGTGCCGAAATGTGTAATAAGATTTCAAAGTTAAACGTGTAGTTACAACTTTAGCAGATCATATTAAAATTTGGGGCTGAGCCTCTATGAACATGGTCAGATATGGATCTTTTGGAAAACTATGGCAAAAAAAATCACAAATCACAACTCAGACAGTTCAAAGAAATCTAAAATATATGGGAGAAGGGAACCAAATATTAGGGAATGTGTGTCAAACGTTATAACAACCTCTCACAATTCCTGTTTGTATTATCATCTTTGTGGGAAGAGGTTGCAGCTACAAGTATTTCTTATTATTCTTAAACTAGTCCTGATTAAATTGATTGCGAATTCCATTGATCGTCTCACTTGCTTATCACTCCTGGCTCCAAGAGGTACTTTAATATTTAAATACTGACAATGACTTGGTCATAATCAGAATTATTAGTTTAAAATAAATGAAGCTGTTGGTTTTGGCTGGATTGCCAAATAGTTCTCACTGACTACAAGTAAGGGCTTGCGCTCGGTACAATTTAGTATACAGCGAAATCTGCCAAAAAAAGAGGCTGAAACTCCGACTCGGAACAAAAGGGCTGTTAAATCTGCAAAAGGGAATGGAAATAGTCAGACTGGTTAAAGTGAAGTCAGAAACTACTATATACAGTTTGTGTTTTATATTTATTTGTTGCACCTATTTCTGTGATTGCCAAATAAAGATCTGTTTTAAACCACTTTGTCTGCCTGATCCCTAATACTATTAAGACGACAAAAGGTAATCTGCCTTCCGAAGGAAACAACTTCTCAATCCAGGCGACACTGCTTTTTTTGCAGGGAAAAAGATGTAGGCGCAAGCCTTGTTAATCACACGTGACTGGCAGGCCACGTCAGCATGAAAGTCAGTGCACATCCATCCAAGAGAGACAGGATCGGAACACCATACTGATCAGGAAAGAAATCCAGGAGTTTTGGTTGCAAGGTCACTGAACATATCAATCAGCGCAGTGCACACTTGGCTTTGCCAATAGGCCTAAAATGTTGGGGTTATACCAACAGAGGAGAGAATAAAAGTTAAAAGAAGGTGATAAGGCACTGACTAGTAGAGGAGCAGGTCTGGTGGTCATATCCTAAGAAGAAAATTGTTGCGGTGTGTGGCCACAATGGCTAGACAAGGCCTCAAGAATGTAAGATACAACTGTTATTTTCTTGCTTTGTCTTTTTCACTTGGTAGTTAACAAACCTTGTCAAAAAAGGTGGGGCGGTCCATGGAAGACTCTTTGGAGACAGGAGGTGGTCGGCAGCCGAGCGGCTTAGAAATCATTCCATTGTAATCAGACATTCCCATTCCACGTTTGTCCATCTCCCCTTTTTTTTCCAACAGAGCACCTGGAAAAGGGGAAAATCGGTCTTAACATAAAAACAAAAAAAAAGGAGAAAACAGAAAAGACAAGACATTAACTTCATCTAGAGGAGACAGGGTCTGTGACAGTAGGAAAAGAAACAGAACACACACAAACACAACAGAAGGCAGTACTCTACAAAAAAACACCAGCAGTATAGATTGAAATACACAAACATTTCAAGATGAAACTGTTCACATGAAACCAAAGAAAACTCAAAAGCAGCACTGAAGCCTGCTGGTGAACAAATACACACCACAGTCAGTGTTTGTATCCATGGTTTACCACATAGTGAGTTCCTAATTACTGCCAGGTTAACTGGGGAGAGTGCTCACACTATTCCAGACATAAGGAAAACTCTGTGCATAGGCCACTTGCCTAACTGTCTCTCAGTCTGATTTGGATACCTTAAAGCAATTTAAGTGTTTCCTTCTGTGTCAGACATCTGACTGACCAAAAACAAGATTAAAAATAAGAGATGACAAATGCTTCAACAATAAAGACTGATAGTATGAGAGAGTGTAATTAATAGCAGCAGATTTTGTTGTTAAACCAGGATGCCTCCGGAATCATGTTACTTAATTTTATGCACATTAATTCAGCTTCCTCACATAGTCAAGACTTAATAATGCCCTCAAAATTATGTTTTTATTTGAACATGGATTGTTGGTGAAACTGCTTCTTCAAGATCAAATATTTTCAATAAACTACACTGTAGTTAATAAAACATAATTCTTTTCAGACTTACCCATAGCCTGATCAAGATTCAGGCTGTTACTTTTCAGGGCCTCTTCTGCTGGTTCTCTCTGTAAATTCAATGGCACATTCAGGTATTTACAGAAATCATGTTAAATAAGAGAAGAAAAAAAATTCACAGCAGAAAGGTTTGCAAATAACAATGTATTTTTTAAAAAAAGTATTAACTGAAAATTACCTGAAAACAGTTATACAGAGGAATCTTGGTACTTTGGTATTGTGTTACTTTCACTAACATATCTGAACGTATTGTTCGGTTTTTTTTAAATCCGCTTATACTTGTATCTACCACAGACCTTTGCTAAAGTGAAGGTGAACACCTGGATTCTGGGGCTAACTAACTCACTTCCTCCACTGAAAAATTCCAGGTCATTCAAGTCAGTGTTGGCTCTCATCATCTGGAAATGTAATTACTTTAGTACTGAATCAGTTGAAGACTCCACAGAACCCCCCCCTGTCTGACAACATTAGTCAAGTAAAGCGAAATACTTCCACTTCTATGAAACTCAATAACCTCAACAATATTAAAGATTATACTTCAGAACAACCTATTGGTTCTATACTAACGCTGACACTGTAGTGGGAACAATAAGACTTTTGTCTCAGTAGATTTCCCTCTATAAAGACTAACAAAATCAGAATAGGAATTCAATACTTTCAAGTTGTATACTGTTAATGGAAGCTATTCATTTAAAACCAAAACTTACAGGGAAGCCCATATCAGTCAGTTGTTTTATCAGCCGGTTCATGAGCCAAGTCTCTTCTTGCTTATTGGACATTTTCATAACCTAAACACAAAGAAAATTTTTTTAAAATTTAGATTCATTTTGACAACGGTTGATGAAGTCAATAAAAAATGTTGCTTGAAATCCACAAATGATTCATATGCCAATAACAAATTGACACCCATGAAAAAGCTTTGAAATAATGCTGTGTAGCAATTCAGCAGAGATTGTTTTTAAAGAAAATAGTTTATAACATTTTCAATTGCGTTGGGCTTACAACAAGGTAATTAAAATGTATAGATTAATTTACATCTGAGACAATTCTATCAGCCTTATATGTAAATCCACAATATCGCTCTCCCTCAGCGTACTGGGTGGCCTCTGTGTTCAATCCTCACTAATGAATGCAAGTCCCTATAACTAGCTGTAATTTGACTAATGAGTTCATCCACCACAACGACCACTGGCAATTGCTATTTAGATTAAAGCAAATTGGGAGGCTTCAGTCAATCAGAGGTTTATTTTACACATTTGTGACACAGACTGAACCTGTTTGTGTATTCCCTCCTTTGATTTATACAGAAAGCTCGAGTTAAGTTAGCTCAACAGAATTTTATTGTAGCTTCAATGAAATCCACAATCCTCGGCATTAAATCTTAAATGACACAATAAATATTAACAAACACAACTATGAGATAAACATTGATCACACTTAAAACTATATACACTAGCAGCCACTTGTAATGGAGTTAATGTAAAGTGCACGAAGAACCAACCTCTGACTACTACTCATCAATAGTCAGAGCAGGTACCTTTATTGTCAGCAGGTAGAAAAATAGTGTCCACGAGCACATGGCGCTCGTTCTTTTATGAGTTTGAGACCCTCCCTGAATTACTTGATGTAATTGCTGTCTTTTTTATGGTCCAATCAGTTGCCCCCTTCAGTTGCACATTAGGGGCAAGTACACTCCCAATCGTTCATTTGCGTATTGGAATGGTAAATTACCAGCCAAATTGTTGCGTTAGAGTTCAGACCTGATGGCGCCATAAGTATCAAAAATGTTAAATACAGAAAAAAAATCAAAGGGGTGACCGTGACACATCAGTTTGCCATTCGATCACAACAATTCTCAAAATATGTAAAGATAGTTTTTAGATGACGTGCTTCAAATAATTGGAACCCTCAGTGTTAAGGGAAGAGAGGGGAGTTTCCTCTCAAAGCTGTTGATATTGGACATCAGCACTGAATCACCACATCCAGTCTATAACTAATTGAATTGATTTTATTTGAACAATGCAATTTGTCAGTTGAATGATTCTAATTTCTTTTAACTGCAGTTGAGTTTTAACTAAGTTGAGTTGCAGAAGGTAGGAGGAACATATTTTCTTTCAAATAGACTGGAGCCAAACTACAAAATACAAGTGCCAGCCTGACAAATGTCAAGAAAGTGTGCAGATTCCATCTAAAATCTAGGTGACTCCTGACCTGATTTTCCAGATTAAATCAAAGTGAACAAGACCCTTTTTTCCTCCCACTGGCCCAAATGTTTGCAATTCTTCAGAAGACCCATTGTTTATTACCTTTTGATGTACTTTCTTGTTAGCACTGCCCCAGCCTGAGGAATTACAGGAAGAATTACTCTCCTGAGGAGCTGTGTTATTCCACATCCCCATCTCCCCCTCGTCTTCCTCCCAGCTTGGGTGATGATTGCTGCTCAGGCCCATTTCATCTCCACTGCTGACCCAACCTTCTTGCATAGATTTGGAGGCTGAAGGACAAAACAGTTAACTCAGATTATAGACACAGAGCTGGTAAAGTCAATGTTATTTTGTCATTTGCAACATATTTGTGCTTAAACATTTCATGATTTTTTTTAAAGCTTTTCATGGTTATAGCACTCAATACTGAAGGATTCTGCTCATTTGTGCTATTCCCACTGAGACACAATCGCAATTTAGTTATTTTAAACTATTAATTTCACATATTTTAACCTGTACTGATTTTTGACTCAGTTTGCAACAAATTCATACAAAAATTAAAACTGTTTTCAGACAGTCAGAACATGCCTTGTGAGAGAAGGGAAACAGATAAAAGATTTTCCTATAGTGTAACCTTCGAAGTCAAAGCACAAACTACTATGAGTTCATCTTTCAATACGATAAGACCTCACCTAGCTGCATCATCAAGACACTATTGACTACCATATAATCTTTCGTGCTAAGATATCAAAGCAGGACCAGCATGCAAGTAATTATAAAATGTCATCATGGTCTGAGTACAAAAGTTTTATTACCTGGTTTGCACATTGGTGGGACAGCAGTTGGTACATTCCCTCTTCCAAAGTTCCCTGTCGACTCCGCAGAATGATCTCCCCAAGTTGAATTGTTGTTGGGAGGTTTGCCCCATGCTGAAGTCCCATTGTCAACCGTGGTAGCTGGAGAGGGTGGTTCTCCCCAAGAAGTCTCAGCTTTAGCAGGAACGCTAAGCGTTTCTCCCCAACCTGTAAAAACGGTAAAACACTAATTTTATGAATACAGAACTACCCAGGCTTCCCATCACACCCATTCACTGTTTGTTTCGATGAATCAGATTGTGTGTCCGTGTAAACACCGTTTGAAGAATTGTGATTTTGGCTTCACGGCACAACATCCTCAGCAAGTCATTTAAAAGCACAAATTTCTTAAGAATGAACAAGAATATTAAGTGTGTCTGTGTGTTTTTTTTAAAAAAGTGTTGAGGATTAAAGATAATCTTGTTCAGAGATGTAAAAATGTGTTTGAGGGGAGGTACTCTCAAATCCATTCCCAGCAGATATAATTCCCTCAATGTGACTGACATTAATGTGACTCTGTACACAACAAGTAAGCCTGGCAGATTATCATATTATTTAATAGTTTTAATTTTCATTATGCAACCTTAGCAGTGTTGTGTCTTTCACTAAAAGAAATCTAGCAATGGTTGTCGCTAAAATCTGCACCTAAATTTAACTATAAATCTTATGGCAAATGTAAATTTCTATTTAACCACAGCTTGCACTTCACCGATTGGGACAAATACCAGTTGGAAAACTACTTTTGCAAAATGCAGGAGTGCAGCCGTGGATCCAATAATCATTAGAGAGGAGTTTCAACAACAACAAAATTACATTTTGTATCGCGCCTTTCACGTTGGGATGACGTCCCAAGGCGCTGGTTAACTTTCATTCATAGTTTCTCTGAAAACAAATGTAACATTGAAAAAACAGTTGGAGGTAACATACAACCCAGTAACCCACTGACAGGCCTAAATGAGCAAATAATAGTATTAAAACTTGGCTTTTATTAGAGACCCTTTAATGCCAACAGCACAGCATTGTAAAATGCATCAACTACCCACCAGAGGGCAGCGAACCTCTGAACATTTGTTTATTTTTCTCTTGCAGTATATTTCTTCTCGGTGTTTGGTCTGCGTTATTTTAAGAATAGCAGTCAGCCTCACGGGATCTGTATTTTCTTTTACACTATGCCTTTTACCGAAGATTTATTGTCTTCCAAAGCACATATTTATCTTTGCTATTTTGTTTTCATGCTCGCTGCTACTCCCGTGTTCATTTATTTTTCCAAAAACAAAGTCCTTGGACTTCACCATATTCTCATCCTTGACTAGAAACTGCTCCAGTGTTTTAGCACTTATCCTGGTTTCCATGGAGGTGACTTTGCAAGGACTGCTCGTAGCTTTCTTATTAGTTAATGCACTGCCCTGCTACAGATACAAAGAATACAAAGAGCAATGTCACGTGCTACACACAGCAGATTACTAATTTGGCACGCAGCCAGATAAAAAGATCACTCCCATTTAGCCTGTATTTAGACTTAATCATGGTCGACTCAACCAGAAAATCTTAAAGCGTGAAATACAGTACGTGCAAAGCGCGTAACAACAGTTTCAAAAGCAAAGAATTTAAAAGTTTCAAGCTTTCTTATCGAGCTTACCCAAAGGAACTGCGTGATACACTTTGCCTGACTGCAGCTAACTCAAAGATCCTTTTGTTTATTCAGTGACACTACTCAAAGGACATGAGGTGGGGAGATGCCATGTCCTCTTTGGGTTATTTAACATGCAAATTTAGTTTTGGAAGGGGCTTGCCTACTGCTAATGTACTGAATCTGTGAATCGTGCATGTTGGTAAACTAAGGAGCTTACTGGGCAGTAACGGCTTTAGTATCTATCCATTCAAAGTTGCTAGGTTGTCCAGTGAGCCTTTAAGCAGAACGTGGGGGAGTGAGCTCAGTGTGTTCGAACTGCGTGGGCGCGAATTGGATTGGTCCTGAGGTCACCTCCCCCAGATGGTGCTCGGAGCGAATTTCCAGTGTGATTCTTGATGGCTCAGACCCCGTTTACGCCACACAGTTGGCAGTGATTGCTGCAAAACGTGTGGATTCACCATCAAAAATCCTGTATTAACACAGTATAGGAAGCAGGGAGTTTTCTAGTATCCTGGCAAATATTGTGCTCTCAACCAAATCCAGAATATTTTGGGAGAAAATTCTTACTGTTTTTTCCAAGTTATAAGTTGCAGACTTTTATATAACATTTGTAATTTACGAAAGGGACTCAACCTTTTGTAATGACTGCCTACCAGCAACCTAAATTTTGCAAACAATTTTGTGATTGCTGCTTATACATGGTTAGTTTTGATGACTAGTGATCTGTGATTTGACACCAAGGAAAGACAATCCACAGCAAAAGATTTGTTGGGGCTTTGTACGACCGATACTTCTGCATAATCATTTTTGTTGATCTTTAAAATGTTTTATCAGATTTAGATTTCAGTGCGCTACCTACAGGAAATGCTATAAGCAGAATGTTTGTATTGTAGCAAAGCTTCATAAATCTTAATAGTATTTCCCAATTTCGATTAATACTTTAGCTTCTCCCCCCCATATGGCTTTTATTAATGTCTGATACTGCTATTTTGCATAATTGCTGTAAACGTAGATAAAATATCGGAGTGACAATTCACAATGACTGGTAGAAATTTGTTTTAAAAAGGGAAAAAGGGCAATCAAAACTATAAACTGTGCAACAGATGATGCCACATATTCTGCCTTCATCAACAATGCTATTCATTAGAATTGGTAATTATGTTGAAAACCAGCAGATCTGTGCAAGTGTACACAAATCAAGAAAGCTGAATGTTCAGCAGTAACTGAGAACACTAATAATATGCAAATTGTTAACATTAAACAAGCCGCTGTTAATCAGACAGTAAGCACCTGCAATTAAACCCCAAAATGACTAATTAACATTATTGCATTTGGTCACCGAAATTTCATTTGATTAAATTATTTCACCCACAAAATATACAGTCAATCCACTTTGCAATATATCCTGTGAAGTGCTTCGAGACATCTCGGCAACGTGATGAGGTGCGATATCAAATGCAAGAATTATATTATATTAATTATTAAATAAACAAAGGTTCAATAAACAAGGCCTTTTGGGATCAATATCTTGTTCTGATCTAGCATCCTCAAAAAAAATTAACAATGTTCAATTGGAACAATTACCGACAACAGAAGGTGTACTCGTGTGCAATCTGTCTCCTACACTATAATCTCCACTATGTATATAAACCTAAAACTGTACAGTGTTCAATAATAATGTGCACTACTCAGTTATGTTTAGCAAATGTTTAAATTGTGGCTGTCAATCTATCAAACAGTGATAGCGTATACTGTATCATACATAGAACTATCGAGCAAGCATTCAATTGATGCAAGATACATCTAGTGTATCTTCCTGATATGATGAAAGATGTAGAACTGCCCAAGATACTTAATTGTTGTGCTACCTCAGAGAGAATTTTTGTCAAAGACAATAAATTGGTTTTCAAAGAGCAACTATGCAAGAGGGTACTCACAAAAATGTAAAAGCGGTGTTTATTTATCCTGAAGGAATATGTATTTTATTAACTGTGTGTACTTGATCAGAAACAACGCTATGTTGTTTGGGAGATCGTGTCTCGGAGCACTTAAATTTAGACAGGAATAAAATGTAAAGTGAACTTTTTTTTTAAAAACTACTGGCAGATAGCTCAAAGGAATGGGGTGATATCGAGTGCAGGGCCCATGAATTTGTAGAATTAATTTTCTACTTCTGGTACCACAATCACGATTCATTCATAAGCCATTTGAAGTCTCAATTTTCACCTTACAGCTCACTCAAGAAGACCACTGTATAAAAATTAAAAGTTTCGCAATTCTTACCTGAACCAAGTAGAGGAGATCTGTTTTGCACGGCACTTGATTGATGAGGCTGAGGTGGTGGTTGTTCAGCCACATTATTGTTACTGCTATGAATCACAGGATTGTTTCTATCCCACAGGTTTACAGTCTTCTTCACATAATTGCTTGGATCTCCCCAAGCTGAGGTACCATCATCAATTTCCATTTTGCGGCGAATAGATGGTGGGGATGGCTCTTCCCAGCCGGTGGATTCACTGTCTTTCTGCTTTGCAGACAAAGGTCCTCCAGCCCAACCTGAACCAGACTGTTTAACAGTTGTAGCTCCTCCCCAGGAGCTAGCATTATTATCATGAGGTTTATTACCCCAGTTTTGTGGTGCATTCGATTTTGATGGCTCTCCCCAGCCTGCATTTGGGCCAGGCTTGCCATTGGTACCATTCCCCCAACCACTGGTCTGTGACCTGGTTGTTTCATTCCAATTGGATCCAGTTCTGTTATCATTGTCCCAACTGGAATTGGGTTTTTTCCCTTCACCTAAAGGTCCTGGTCCTACAGCAGAATCAGTCCAATCGCCTCCTCCTCCTCCCATTAACCCGCCTCCTCCTCCACCCCCCATTACACCCCCTCCTCCCCCCATTACTCCCCCTCCTCCCCCATTACTCCCCTCCTCCCCCCATTACCCCCCTCCTCCCCCCATTACCCCCCTCCTCCTCCCATTACCCCCCCTCCTCCCGATGTCCAGCCTTGGGTATTTTTCTGCCCTTCTCCCCAATTATGAGGTTTAGATTTCTGAGAGTCTGCCCAGCTTGATGGCTTCTCCTCCTGATTGGAGACCCCAGCCCAGGCATGGCCACTTTTGGCAGCAGCAGTAACAGCAGTAGAATTAGCAGAATCCCCCCATCCCCCTTGGCCATTAGATGTTTTATCTCCCCAACCTGTGTTATTAGACATGACTGGAGGTGGAGGATTTCCCCACCCAGATACTGAAGAGGTATTAGTACTGTTCATGGTGGACCCATCACTTTTTCCCCCTGAGTTTGAAAACTGGGCAGCAGCTGAACCCCAGGCCTCGGTTCCAATATCATTTTTTCGCTCAACCCTTGGGGCTTCTTCAACTCCCCAGCCCATATTCTGCTTTACTGGGGTCTGTCCCCATCCAGTATTACACAAGACTCTGGGATCCAGATCTGGCCTTGGGACAACATTCTTGAGCAGCCCTTGTTGATCATTCATCCCTTTATCCATCCTTTGTCGGCCACCACCTTGACCTCCTCCACTACCTCTTCCAGTACTTCCATCATGGTTGCTACCACCACTCTCAGTACTTCCTTCACTAGCAGTGGTACCTGAAGCAGAAGGTTTGGCCCAAGAATTAATTTGTTCATTACCTTGCTGCATAACAGGAGTTTGGTTGGTAATACAAAGGCCATCCCATCCAGATGATGATCCTTTCCCATTGCCATTCGCTTCATTATTGGAATGCTGGTTAAGAGGCTTGCCCCATTCCCCATTTACACCATTACTAGTGTTCCTGCTCGATGATGGGCTACCCCAAGCTCCAATGCTATTGGGACCAGAGTGCAATCCCCCAACGGTACCAGGTCTTGTCCATGACACTACCCCAGGACTGGTAGGAGGACCAGAGTCCCAAGCACTGTTTCCAACATCCTTTTGTACAGCACTGTTGGAATTACTTGCTAATGCCTGTTTAGCACTTAAACTTAATACGGAATTCACAGTGTCTCCATTCCCCTGACTGAACCCCGAGTTACCATTGGTGGTTGTAGGATTAGAGTGTGGTAGTCCCCACACTGAGTTGCATGAAGGATTGTTTATCCCTTCACCACTGCCTCCATTGAGTTGAGAAACTGCAGATGCCCCATTAGCAATAGGAAGGTTTTGCAAATGGGATGGGTTTATTGCACCCATGCCTACAGTCATTGCCCAGCCTCCTTGTACAGCTACATTTGGCAGTCCATTCGCCTGCATTGCATTGAGAGGGTTTGGTGAAGAGTTTATGGGGTTAGTGTTATTTGGTCCATCAGTGTTAAGGTTCTGAGGTTGTACGCTGAAAGACACATTCTGTGAAGTGGGCGTTTGTGTATCTGTGTTCTCCTGCTGCAGCAAAGTTCCCCAGGTATTCAGGCTACCTGTTGGACCATTATTAGGGTTACTATTTGGGTTTCCAAGATTTTGACCAATGGGAATATTTGGACTGCAAACACTGGAAGTGATTCCTCCTCCTACAGTTCCTTGAATTTCATGCCCAACAACAGGCCAGGCAGATGGATTGGCATTGGGATTAAGATTGAGGTTAATGCTAGCAGTAGATGTAGAAGTGCCCCAGCAGTTTGGATTTACACTAATGATACTATCCATCTTTCCACTTCCAATGGTAGCAGAGCAGTGACCTATACCAGGGGCAGAGCCTGGGGCAACACCCCACACCCTGGATGAATTTCCATTTCCACCATTTGCTCCACCTCCAATGGCACTCTGGTTTGAACTGCTTTGGACAAGTGCTCCATTACCATCATTATTGCAATTTTTGTTTTGTCCATTGAAGTTGCCTGGTGCACTCCCTGTAGCCATGCTACTATTCTCTGAGCCACAGTTAGAGGCAGAGTCAGTGTCTGTGCATTCTGAGGCAGTTTCAGTCTCGGTTCCAGAAATAGAAGGCCAAGCTTCTTTGTCACTCCCGTCTATTATCACTTTATCCCAGATGCTGTTTGGTTCACTTCTGAAGGGGGACTGTCCCCATTGGGAATTTTCATAATGAGGTCCCAGACCACTGTAGCTGTGATCTGCAGAAATAAAACAAATGTAAAGATATTAACAGACTAAAACAAATTTAGGATGGACATATGATGGCACTTCAGGCCATATGGGTTTACTACATAGCAACAACAACTTGCATTTATATAGCGCTCTTCATGCTGGGTAGCGTTCCGGTTGGAGTCCGACACCGAGCCAGGAGGAGGGGGAGGTGACCGTAAGTACGATCAGAAAAGGTCTTTAGGCGGGATTTGAAAGTGGGGAGGAAGGGGGCAAGACAGAGGGACTGAGGGAGAGAGTTCCTGAGTTACTATCTTAACAATTTTTAACAGGGTTCTTGATAGTTAGTACAATGTTATTGCAGCTATCTTAAGGATACTTAAATTCCTTACTAATTACTACATATTAGCATAGATTAGTTAAAAGACAATGGCAAGGGAATGAGGTGGGGGCGGGGAAGGGGAGAACCAGAGGGCATAAAACTCACTCAGAAAATACAGAGAATGAAAATGCCTGGTTTAATAGTTACACGTGAGAAATAATGCACACCATCAGTTGCCAATTTAATATTTTGTTAGCAAAGAAAGGTTGGGTGAATGACTGAAAATCTGAGGTTGTCTTTGAGAATTTTTGGCCTACCCATTTCCAATGGTTTAATTTCAATTTCTGCATCCTGTTGAATAAACCACTGGAGTACATCTTTTGTGTTAGCACTGTTAGCATAAAGGATTGATTTCTAAGTACAAATGACATCTAGATATTTAAGATACCCGAATCAAATTATACCTTTACACAGTTGAAGTGTTAAAACCAATTATTGAAATTCTACGAAGGTAGAGGTATCTCAATAACACACTGTATCGCCTATTGACGTTGACGTGTTTTAAATCCATTTTTCCGTGTGGAAATGTAAAGCAGGATTTTGGACTTGAGAACACTTAAGCCTTGAACAGATTTCAGAAGAAAACGGGATTATACTAAACAGATGTGACAGCTCAAATGTTTCAGGCTATTAAAAACAATTCTCATTGAAACAGGACTAGCAGGGTCATTTCTTCAACGCGGTAACTATTCCCAGAAGCTGAGCAGCTTTCTCCAAAACAAGACAGAGCAATCCAAGAGTGGAAAAATAGCTGCTTCCTAAAAACAGCACACATTTTACCAATTCTGTAAACTTGAGTTGGCAGAGTAAGCAAAATTAACCCCTTCACCCAGACTTATCAAGCTTCTGTTAGGACGTGGAAGGTGTTATCACAACAGTTGATTAAAGCTGAGTCAATTACAATATTTAAGAGGGAATTAGTTAAAAACCCAAAGAATGAAGATATAAAAGGTTTTGGAGAAAGAGCAGGGAAGTAGGATTAGAGAAGATGGCTTCAGTGGGGGAGCTAGCAAGATATAGGCACGGTGGGCCATATTGCCTGCTTCTGTGCTGCAATTTCTATGATTTTATGGATACACGTTCACAGATTCCCCCGAAAGATTTCTGTCACCTCACACAAGTGGCCTTATTTTGCATGCTTGCCAGCAGATTAAATCAATTGGAGGAGGGAAAGGTTGAGAAGATACAATGCTGACAAGCCTGATCCTGTCCTCAATTGCTATCAAACATGTGGGTCTTTCAGCAGGAGGCACTGTATGATCGAATAAAGGGCCGGAGTACAAACGTGATGGTATCTTCACCATCCCACTTCTGGGTTGTAGAGACCAACTGTAGCTCTCTGTTGATCCAGCTGAGTTTGGTGATTTCAACACGAATCTGAAACCTTGTGGTCTACCCGGATCAGTACCACAAAGCTCCTCTTGTAATGCATTGTAACAAACCTATATTTTCTCCCATAGTCTAGGTGTCAGAAGCAACTAGGTCATAAACATGATTTACACTGTGAAATGAGAAAGCAGTTTAACTACTTTTAGTCGCATCACATTTTGTAAAGATAAACACAGCTTTTACACATCAGTCAGTGGTTATTTCAATTCTAAAAATTATACAGTTTGATTACTGTAGCTAACACATTTAAATTATACATTGCAACTGTAACATACTGTATTATTACAAAATGCCAAAAATAATTCTTGCAGATTACAAAAGAACAACCACTTAAGCAACACAGTCAATACTTAAGGTCCAATCCCAGCTGCACCACAAATAAAACATTCTCGTTTTTTTTTTGCATAAACATCATTAAAGGCATCACAATTTCACAAGAGCATTAGAGTATTAGTTTTCCTTAGGCCACCAAGCTGCTTTGGTTGAATTAAAATATACTACATACGCACTATTGTTCAAAACTGAAAGAAATAAAAGAAGCTAAATGCCGAGGGCTCTATCTGGCCCTCGTCCATTGCCGATCAAAAGCTTTTCATGCAACAATCAGCCATTTTGAAAACAAAAGGAACAAAGTTGAAGCACTACCAAATCAAAAAGCATTTTTAGATTGACTTTTTATTACAGTGTTTATGCCAGATGTAGTATCCCTTTAACAAACAGCCAACTGTTAGGGACGCCATTTTATCAGTTTCAACAGCCAAATGCTTTTCAGACTGTAATGCAGCAGCTTTCTAATGTAATGCAATACATTTTAGAGAACAAAGCAGCCATTATTTTGCATTTTTCTGCTCTACAGGAGCTATGGAAAATACCTGACGGAAGGTGACGCCCAACCATCGTAGAAAATGCTACATTTTGTGCAATTCTGCCTTCATGCCTGCACCTACGCTCGCCTGTGCTCGGTTTCAATATGTCGGCTGTATACTGTAAGCCTCATCCTGTCTACATGCCAGAAAAGCTACTCTGTGCAGTGTACGCCACTGACAACCTGCACTTGCTCAGCCCTCCCCTGCTTGGAAATGTCCTTCTGAGGTGGGGCTCAGAACTAAGATGTCAAGCGACAGAAAAAAAATCTAGTTCGATTATCTAATTACTGACGACACTAAACCCATCTTCCTTTCTTTAGATTCTTCAACTGTCACGAAACATTTTCTTCTGGCAATGCAATTAGCACTCGCTGGTTTTGAAAGTCAGCCAAAAAAACAACCGCATTCGCTGGTTGGCTGCATGCAAATAAGCTTCTGTTGTGTGCCTTTTAAAAACGCCAGGCATCGTCGCTTGGCATACCATTACGGCTCTAATTTTCAGTAAAGAACTAATACATACATGGGCTCCATGCCAGTTTTTTTTTTAAAACTTTCTAATCTAGCCCACATTGGAACCTGCGCATTAAAAAAGGAAAACATTAATCAAGCGTTCCATTGTTTGAAAACTGGCACGTTCCACTGCAAAACACATTCTCACTGCATTTTAGTGGTGGCTAAAATGTGACGATATAAAAACACTGCTGGTCTCGAAAGAAAGGCAAGAGCCTTAGTTTGGCGGCAGCTTGTCAGCATATGCCAATAGCCACGCTAGCGTTAACAGCAGATATATTAATGAAATGCCTTTTCATGCTGCAAGGCTGCAAATTATAACTGTAAGACAGACTCAAGTAGGAAAATTCATCTCGCTGTATGACCTGCCAAGGTGAACCGGAGGTCATGGAAAGCTGCCTATCTTTAACAACACTGAACACATACATGCAACTGGGTTGCTAAGCCACGGCTCTCGTTATTCAGATTGCAGTGTAAACTAAGCCTGAAGCTTTAGGAACCATCAGGTCCCATTGAATTATGCGTTAGCTACAGCTGCTACATCAATCAGCAGTAAGAAAAAAAAGCCATGTTTATGCACTCAAGATATAAGCAACTTTTACCTAAATAGTCATAGAAAACATGAAGTTCCTTATTATAATATTTGCACACAGCTTCTTATCAATATTTCAGAATTTACAAATCCTTCAGCTCTTATACAACTGCATATCAACACCATCAACTGATCTGACATAGCTTAATTTGTAATACAATTCAGAAACTTTCCATTCATTTTCTTAGCACTACCTAGAGGCAAAGGTGAGGCTTTGTTAAGATTTATTTAAAATGAACACAATAACACTTCTGGAATGTCTCTCGGGGGCCAATTTAGTAATCAAAAGAAATGCATACCAAAAGAAATGAATCGGTTATATATCAATTGCCGTGGTTTCTCCCAGGATACAGGAAAAACTACAAGACTTTACACTCAAATTCAGTCAAAGGTTGGCTTTTATTTTTTAAAATGTCGATCACTGAAAAAAACGTGCATAATCTTCTGAATACTTGGCACACCGATTAGTTCTACAGAAATACTCTACAGACCATCCATGATGTCACTAAAACTGGCAGCAATGCATGTGAAAATATTTTATCCTATTTACCTGGCAGCATTTCTGTGAATAGCTGTCCTGTTTGGGCACCAATTGCTGTATGCTAAAGGGAATAACCGTGTTATCTCTGGATGTGACGCATTACCTCAAGAGAAAAAAATCCTCCATTGCAATAGAGACAGTAATATTAAACACTGCAGTGGCTTCAAGCAGGTTGAATGTTCAGGTTTTCATATTACTGTACGAGCCTTCTCCAGCAATGAAGAAACTCCAGCAAAAGTTTCAATTCTGAATTAATGCTTGGGCATTATTTCTATATTCTGCAGGTGCTGTGGGTGGAATCCCTCCTCCCTCCCTGCAAGAATCAATCTACATACTCAAATTACAATTATTTCAGTGTACACATTGCGTTCTGTCATATTTAAATTCTACCTGACTGATTAAATGAAAATAATTTAAGCAAAGCATTTTCCCCATCTTGTACAAAGGATGGGCTCTCATGCATGGATTTATCATCTTAAAATAAAGGACTAAAACTTAATCAGGGGGGAAAACAAAATAATTGCGATGAAGCTTCCATCTGAAATGCAGATTTCTAACCTGAGAAAGGTATGTGGGCATGAAACTGAAATCACCCATGGGGGTGTAACCTAGAAAGAGGGGTGTTTGTGGGGGTGGAACTATGAGAGCAAGATTACCCTCCCATCTACAGGACAATGTTTTGGGTAAAACATTTCTTTTAAAAAAAGGATGTATAGCAGCAAAAGATGGTTTAGGTCCCTAATCTGAACCGAATAATAATCCAATCTGCATGATTTGTTAAGCACGGGTTTCTTGTTCTTTTAAATTATCTGTACTGTAGAAGTACTTATGAATACTCTAGTGGTCTGTTGCTGTATCACAGGAGCTTCAATGACTTGCTGAATTACTTTAAGATTACATAAACACATTGCTTCATTGACCATGCTTAGGCGAGTTATCAGCCTCAGAAGGTTTCATTAATGCCAGTGCTATATTATAAGGGGCACCATTCAGTGTATTACAGTTGTATCCTATAGTGTAGCTCAATTCCATAAAGTTGAAAAAGAGAACATTAATTTTTACAGTAACAGTATTATAACCGTAAAACAGTAAGCACAGCAAGTTATATTTATGTATCACCACACAATTGTTTTTTTTCTCGTTATTATTATATTATAAAATATGAACATGTAACTTAAATAATTCAAGATATTCAGATGAAGAAAGAACACGATTATGTTAAAAGTATTATTTTAGTAATGGTGATAAAATCAATGTCACCTTTTGCCACTCTTAAAAACACCATGCATTCACTTTATTAGGTGATGCCTTTAATCAAACAAAAGTTAGCACAATAAAAATTTAAGGTAATCCTTTTCCAAAGAGCAAAGAAAATGAGAAATATCTAATAACAATCTTGAATTAATTATTTACATTTGTATAGGAAAACAAATCCAAAAGGGAAGATAATTCGCCAGAACACCATGGGAGATTCTAAAACCATCAAATATGAATTGAAGAGATAATTGACAGTTTGAAAGCATTAAAGAATATAAGGTCGCTGGGCCTAGATTGCACACGAACAAACCTAAAGTGGCTGAAATTGGTCATGCAGTTACATGTAATCAGTCATATTTAGGGGCTCAACAGAAACTGTTTTGTGTTCTCCGAACCGGAGACTCAACACCAAATTTACAAAAAGACACCACAGGATACTACAGAGTGACCAAAAAGTTGTGACAATATAATAATAAGTTGGTCACTCAATCCACGACTGTTTGTGGGACACTACTGTGTACAATTGGATGCCCTGTTTCACCCACAAAATATATAGTCAATTCACTTTACAGTATATTCTGTGAAGAGCTTTGAAACTTTGAAGATGTGATGAGGCGCTATATCAAATGCAAGGATTATTATATTATTACCATTAGCAAATTCAAGATGGAATTGGAGAGGAAATTGGCAACAAAACAGATTAAGCTGTACAAAAAGAGAAATGTACATTTTTTTAGGTTGGATCCAGCCAGAATTTCCAGTCCTGCTCATTAGAACATTAACAAGGAATCCCTTTCCTTCTAAATGCAGCACGGGATTCATAAATCCACTTTAAACTACCAGAATACCTAGTCCCCGGGACAGCACCTCAATCAACGCAGTACTGTAGTGTTTGCCTGGATTTTGAGCTCCTGGGCGCAAACCCAGAACCTCAGACTCAAAAAGGTAGGAGGAATGGAATCTGCGTATATGAAACCCCCCCAAATATTTCCAGTACAGATCAAGCAAGTGCAATCGGAAACGCAAGCTAAACATCACGGCAGATTTTTATATACTGGCCACTTAATGTCCTTTTTAAAGAGAGCAGATGGCAAAACAACCAAGCCGATAATCTGTATTAGTCTCATGATGTAATTTCTTACTATTCAGCTTACTCCAGCAACCCGACACAAAGTCAGATTCACATTCTCCGGTTACACATTTCAATTTCACTTACATCAGCTCCTACTTTAAGGGATAGCTACTTGCCAAATTTAGATTAGGAGTCCCCTTTAACCTCTTGACATAATATAGTGAAAAGATGGGCACTTTCTAAAAGCTTATCTTCAAGAGCATTTGAAGCAATCACATGATTCACACACATGGGTAAAACAGCATACCCTTGGCTAAATCCTATAATATTGCACAGAACAGCAAGCCCACAGATGCCATATTATTTTTTTGCCAAGTGATTTTTTTTTGCAACAGATGCAAAAGATAGAATGTTCTAATTGGATAATGCAAGTAATTTAATGAATGGAAAGTAAAATCCAATGTTACGATCGGCATACGAATGGATTAAATTAGATGTCGAACACTGGTCACTCAAAACGGTAACAAAAATGTTGATACAGTGATAACCAGAATGATTCAAAGTGGTTGACAATCGGAGGAGTGGATACCAAAAAGTGTATTAGGCAGGCAGCTTGAAAGAACATAGGATAAGAGAAGAGTCAGTAGTGGATTGAGAAAGCAGATGGTAGGTTTCATGCAGAAGAGGAGATTGCTGATCATGGGGATAGGGAAGAGTTGGGAAGCTTTTGGATCAGAGCTGAAGATACAAGCAGCTGGAGAAGAAGTTGCAACAGACGGTTGGAAGTGACAAAAAGTTTGAGGTTGCTCTACCCTGGGATAAGGAAGATTGGTCGATAGAAAAGAATACACCTCAAGAAGGTTGAATCCAATAAGGTAACCAGAGCAGGTTTATACCATGTGCATTTGGACTGAGGTCTATGGAGTAATGGGTTAGGGTAAGGGGAGGGGTGGGGGGTTGTAACATCATTAAGCAGACAATGTGCCTAATCAGACAACTCTTGAGTGATAGAGAAGCTAAGCAGGGGGAGTCCAAAAGGAAGAATCTGAAGGAGCATAGAGGCCAAAAGTTAACCCTGAACCCGTGAGCATGAGAAGGAGATTTTTTTTATTGTAGCCCTGTGTGGACCATGGTGGGAGTGGTCATTGATGAAGCACTACTTGCAATTTATAATGCCTGTGATCAAAACATCTCAAAGTGCTTCACGTAATTAATGTTGAGTATAGTAACTTGTTTTTGTGGGGAACCAGATGCCCAAAGTGGCAACATGCAGCTGTTTACACATTCATAATAAAAATACTAATAAAAATCCTTGCATTTGATATAGTGCCTTATCAAGTCTTTGAGACGTGACAAAAGGGCTACACAGGATATACTGTAAAGTAAATTGACTATATTTTGTGGACGAAACGCGGCAGGCAATTGCACACATCAGTGTCCCACAAACAGTTTTGGACTGAAGTGACCAAATTATTATTATTTTTCAAAAAAGTGATTATTACCCCCAGAAAAGCAATTTTGTAAACCAATGTTAAGCATGAGAGTCACTCGCTGACAATATAATAGTATAACATCATGGGAAGGTCACCTTTGGAGGCACACAATGCTTGTAAGGTGACTTTCTGTTTGCACATTCACAACTATACAAGTGAATGTTAGGTCTTAGCCACCAAGAAGCAAATTTAATGGATCTTAAGTTTGGGTCTTGAGCTGAAATTCGAAATGGAAAATATCTGAAAGTTTTAAATATAACATTCCTCTCGCGTATGTAAATTAGTCTTACCAGTTTGTCCTTTGCTTAGATGTTGCTGCTGCCCACTAGCTGCTTGCTGTACGTTGTGCTGAGAAGAATTTGCTACCACTTGTCCTAAACTATTGCTGATGGCAGTCCCAGGTGGCAGTGGCTGACCCCTTTTCAACAGCTGCTTCTGTTCTTGATGCCGGAAGCGAGGTGGCACCTCACGAGGCGGGTAACGGGACAAAGCCTGTTGTTGACTATTAACAGAAGCTCGCTTGCCATTGCTTCCACTGCTGTTGGTAATAGTGGTGGTGGAAAGGCTGTTGCTGGAATTGGCAGGCTGTGGCTGGTTTTGATTGGTCTTGGTAGATTCTGGCACTGGAAAAGATATAAACCACCTTGAATACAAAATATTTTGATATCCATATTGAAAAACCTGATTATTAGACATGACATTAGGTCCTTTTTTGCATTCTTGATCTTTTCTAGACCAGAGAGATATGCCTTAGCTGCCGGAACATACTACAAGCTCCTTAGGGCTTAGAACTGTATTTAAATAGGTTTCAATTAAATAATGCTGCCAAATCCCACCAGATTTTACCAACAATTAAAAATTCCATAACAGAAACAGAGGAACCATTTAACAAAACTGAATATTGAATCAAGTATTTTCCCTCTTTTAATTGAGTAAAATACTGTCAGAACTCAAAAAGACATTGAATGAAAAATGGCTATTAAGCGTAAGTCTGCTCGCTCGAAGGGCCAAATATAATCTATATATTCCATTGAATATATTTAATCGCCTAAGGGAATGTTCCACACAAACACTCCCTAATCCAGAAGAGTAAATCAGGAAAAAATCCACAAAATCTCTGCTATTAACCCAAGGTCTGATGTTCTTCAGTGATAACCCCTACCTTAGCAGAACCAGAATAACACCAGCTAGTAAATTTTAAGAACGTCAGTCTAAATTATTCCTATAGCATTCAAAGATACCGACTGTTGGCAAAAATTTCTGTAGGCTGACGTAATGTCCATGTGTTATAATGTGCATGGGAAATTGTGTAAAATCCCGAGCTGTATTCACAAACTGAGAAGTTTAAGGCAAGGATTGAACAGTGTTGTTCAAAATTGCAAAAGGTTAGACTAGTAAACAGTGAGGGATTATTTCAATTTGTTGTATATAAAGGGGCATAAACTCAAGACTTCTAGAAGTATATAAGAGGGTTCTAGAAGCATATAGATTGATGGGGCTTTTTTTAGCCAAAAAGTACTATCAAGATACGGAATACCTACCACAAGTGGCTACAGAAGACAAATCTATTAAAAAGGAACTTACCAATTAAAGATCTAAAAGGTTTTGGGGGAAAGAGCAGGGAAATGAGACTAAAGTATACAGCATCAGTGAGGAACTAGCAGCACATACGCACAATGGGCCAAATGACCTACATCTAGGAATATGGTTTACCACAACGTTAACTAATAGTTTTGTAGTTGCTTAAAGGGAATTCAGACAAATTAAGTTGCAAAAGATTTTTTTACATCATTATTAAGGGTAAAAAAAGGAAGGCGATGTGACTTGGAAAGCAATGTGACTGAGAATTGATTATTTAATATGTTTACTAAAGTTGATAGCTATTAATAAACCAAGTGAATAGAATGGTTTTGTTGTGACCAATTAGCGTGAAAAATCTCAATTTCAATACAAGAAATACAATTTGCTACATACAATGGAACAAATTCACATGTAATCCTAAAACAAATGCCAAGCAAAATCTTAAATCTACTGAAATGTCATCAAACGTTCATCCTTGACAAGAAGAGTCTTTTGGCCAACTCAGTAATTACAACAAAAAATTACAGTTGTATATATAGCCTTTCATGTCAGGAGGCCATCACCAAAATTACAACACCAAAATATTTTATTGCATTTAATATAATATTCTATGGGGTCTCCAAATACACTATAAATTCTCATTGAGATTAATGTTAAGGTTAAACGCGAGTAAATCTCAAAAATTTACACAATCTCTTTGTGGTGTCACTGAAATGAAAATTGCATAATTAACGCAGTAACAATTCCTGTACTTAAAAATGTGTCACGTTTGAAGTCCAAACTATTCATTTGTTTTAAAGAGCCCATAAAGATTAGGTTTATGGTTCAGTGTTAGACACGATGAGCCAAATGACCTCCTCTGGTGAATATTTGTGTTGCTATGTTATTGATAATAATATGTAGTCCTTGCGCTGCTTTGTTCAATGGATCAATGAATGGAGATGTGTCAATGAATGCCAACAAAATCTACATAAGTTATTTGGTCATCAATAATTTCTTAAAGTCCATTTAAACATCTCGGCCACCGTCTGCGACTTCACATACAGTATAACCTTGGTGCCACGATTGAAACGTTAAGATTAATGCAAGAAAGGGTTGGCGAGCTGGAATTGAGGATTAACTTGTTAAGACCATTTCATTGAATTCATTTGCTTAAGTGCCAGGAAGAAGATAGCAAGCAGCCTCATCAAAATAAAAAAAATAAGCCTGAACATGATTAGCTGGATATCAACAATAAAAAGAAAATAATTGCACTTATACTGCCTTTCAAGTAGAACAGCTCAAAGTGCTTTTACAGAGCTGATATGGATTACCAAGTAAGGTGGGAAGGGACAGAGTTGAAGGATATTGACTGAAGGCATAGACAAAAGAGCTAACTTTTTAAGGAAGGTTTTTCAGTAGAAAATAGAGGGTAGAAGGCAATGAGATCGGGGAGAGAATTCCAGATTGGTGCAAAGAGGCTAAAACCTAATCCACTAGTGGCAAGATAGAGAAGACAAGGACAAGCAACAGGCCCAAGGTGAAGCAGCAAGGGGTGTGGGCAGAAGAGACTGCAACAACAACAACAACATGGCACCTTTTAAGTGGGAATGCTTAATAGTGGTGGAGCCTGTCACTGAGCCGGGGGCAGAGGGAGAAGGTGACCGTAAGCATGGCTGAAGAGGAAGGTTTTCAGAAGGATTTCTGAAGTGGAATGCAGCAAAAAGAATGAAGCTCAAAACAGGATTTTTAGAAAAAGTAGGAAAAAAAATAAGAAAATGTCTGGTACGTCAAGCACTCGAGCACAAGATTCCTGAACAAATATCTTTGATTCCAAATCCTAGGTTAAACTTGCATTCAAATATGCCTCCCTTCATTGAGAAGGATTTACCTGTTCTTATGCAGGGCCACTGGATGGAGCTCTTCACAACTGCAGAACAGTTAAAGCAAAGCTGCAATAATCCTCCCATTGCAAAGATCTATAACCACCTTCAAGTAGACAATCATAGTTGATCATTTACAGCAGCTATTGAGATCTCCCAGGCTAAGACCAAACTGCCCTTCCAGATGGAGGAACTCTCAGGGTGGGTCACCAGCGGCATTGGCTACCTACCTCTATATTAAGAAAAAAAAGTTTTGTTCCTACTTTTTAAAAAAAACATATGGTATAAACTTGTAAGAAACCTTTTAAATCAAGAAAATCACTTCACATTGGTACCACCACAGCTTAACAGCAACAAAATTGACACTTAAGATCCAATGTTCAAGAGGGCAATTCTTCTGACGGGACTAATTAATTCGGGCAGCTCTTTCCAAAGAGCCGGCACGGGCACAGTGGGCCGAATGGCCTCCTTCTGCGCAGTGTATATTCTACGATTCTGTGACTAGAGAACAATATTATCACACAATAAATTAGGTTTCCTTCTCTATACAAAGTCACCATATTTGAGGAGATTTCCAGTGGAAATGCAGCCAGGAATTCCTGAAATGTTCTGTGGAATCGCCACTGTATGCAGAGTATGAAATGGGCACTAGCTTTTTTTTAAATATATTGTTACATGAGTGCTACTTATCTGGGATAGTTAAATTGAAGATCAAAATAAACAGATGGGAGAAATACAAAAGACAAGGATTTTAAAAAGGAGAAAACAGCAGAGTGTAACAACTGAATCAACAACAAACAACATTTGTATAGCGCCTTTCACGTCGGGAGGGCATCCCAAGGCAATGAAGTGCCACCAAGAAGCAAGAGGGTCAGAAAGGAAAAACATAGTTATTTAAACTGAGAATTTTAAGTAAGCTTTGGAAAAATGCAGAGATGGTATTATGCTTTTTTTATACTGTGAAGTATTTGCACTGATGTGTGTGTGTGTGTGGGAGGGTAAGAGAGAAAGAAAATAAGGAAAGTGAACTGATGTGCAGAACAATCATCATGACATTGGGCATATGTTAGTAACCAGCGGTCACACAAACCAGCAAAACTGAGCCAAAAATTGCATACAATTTCAAATGTTTGATCACTGTTGTCTTTATTTTTGTTGCAGCAAATCTGTCTACGTTTAGACCATGAACAACTTTGAGCCCTACAAGCCTGCATACCAGGTGACACAGATTTGCAGTACTTTATATTCATGGAAAGCATAAATCGTGCTTGCATACTTAGCATACGTAGAGCTCCTAGGATAGTGACTTTTTCATATTGGAGATGGCAGGATTGTTGCTGTCATTAAGAAAGTCCTCCCAGGGATTTCCGGTTCAATTTTATTCTCTTCCCTTTCTTCTCTAGGTTCTCTTTTCCTTTTATTAAGGAAATATTTCACAGGTGCAGGAGTGCAACAAATACATGGGATGACGATACCCAAGACCTCATCTTCCTTTGCTCCTCTAATTCAAGCATAAAAACAAGCTTGGTATTACCTAATAACTTCTCAAATCATCTATTTTTCTCCCTTATACTGCAGGATGAGACTTGACCGTTCCTCCACATTCTTAAAAAACAAGATAAATCTTAAACCCCAAGACTTAATGAATATAATATCAGGAATAAGATTCTTTCTCTTGTCCAAAGAACACAAGGAATCGCCTCAGAAGAAGCACATTGATTTGTGGGATATGTGAAAAGAGGTCAAAGGCAATGTCTGCATCCAACAAAGATCGAATAAAATATTGCTTTTATGGTTTTCCTTGTTGACAACCTGAGAGAGGATACCTGGAAATGAAAAGCATCTGATTTATTGAAGTTAATTCTGCATTTAGGAGAAATGAGCTGTTACCACCGAATCAAATTTGGCAATCGTTTCTCAGTCATAAAAAAGGTGCATTGGAAATCATATTGCACTCAATTATACAATGGTTTGTGAAACATCACTTTGAACGGATGCTCATCTGCTTTCAAGCCTCAGTCCTAAAGAGGACTTTCATCTATATGAATACATTTTCCAGAGGTAAGGGATTCCACCATTGTGAGACCAAATGGGTTCTTACTTTAGAAGTAAATTACCATTAATTAAAAATAAACATTTATCTACACCCAAAAACAGGCTTGAAAGAAAGCAATCTACAG